GAAATAGAAAAATGTGTTTTTTGGTAGTATTCGGTAACAAATTTTTCCAAAAGTCAAAAAAATATATCTGTCTATAGACACCCGCAACACCAGATAACTTACGAGTGCGTTTTGGCTTTTTGGCGATTGAACATTTCATTTCATTTTGGCATTAGGGATTGGGAATCAGTTCTTGAGGTGTCTTCATTAGTTTTGCCGATAGGATCAATAGCTCCTTTAATAGACACCTCATTAATTTTCCCTTAAATATTCAATACTGACCTATTACAGTTTCAGCAAGTCAAATCAATATTACGTCATCGTGATTGACATAGTGACCAACAGTTGGCATTAGGTATTTTTCGCGTTGTGACTCATTCCGTGACAATAAGCAAAAGGCTGGACCATTTATGCAAAGTAATAATACTTGCAATATCAATTGCTTTGTTTACTTCTTCAAATTAATTGGCATAACAATCTGTGGCTGGAGACTGTGTGAGTTAACCATTTTTGGAAGTAGGAAAATTGCGTCACTGGTGGTGATAATATGCTCTTGTACTTTTTTTGCACCGACCATACTTACTGCATCATCCAAAGGTTGCTAAGTAAGCTAGCAAGAGTGCTTGGTGGCATTAAGCCCACCTATGTACTTTGTGCATGAAGGTTCAATAAATAAATAAATAGATATGGTTATTCTATTTGTTTCTGAGAAAATCTTTCCTTCTCCTGTTCTTCGTTTCTTTTATGAGTCATCCACCTTATCAAGGTCTTCAATGATATTGAATTTCCCAGAAGATTTCCAAATAACTATTTGTACATATTTCTTTTGGAATAGGTCCCTATAAAATGGACAATTCGGACATAAGCTTAGTGCAATTTGAAATCGTAAAACAAAAAGGAATCACTCCCTAAATATGCGCGAACGTTGAACCTCCTTATAAAATGATCCTGTACGACGAAAGGTCCCCGACCGGCGGCAGTCGGTCACTCCTGTTTCAAACAAAGACCAGACAATATCGATTGATATCCGTCTGCATCTACACTTACATAATTAATTGTTTGCATGTTGCAACACTGAACCGACGAATTGCCGCCCACAGCAACAGGCTATTTTGAAAATGTTTCCTTCAAGCCAAAGGAAGGCTTTTTAAATATTTTGCTGTTGTAGTAAACTAGAAACAGCGAAGGGATAGTTATTTAGCTCTTAATTAAGTTTCTTAGCTATTGAGTTCTACTAATATTATAAATATGAATGTGTGTGAAAATGCATGCATGTATGTTTGTTATTCTGTCACAGCTTACACGCAAAAACGGCTTGACCGATTTGGTGGTCGCTTTTTATCAACATATTCAGATTTCATAAATTCAAAGTTTTGAATCCCTTAATAATTTTATCATTTCTTTAATTAGTTTTTATTTAGTTCTAATCAATAAACTGTTAATTACCAAGACATTTATTGCAAGTTAACCTAATAAAGTTATTATAATGCTTAGGTTTTCCTCTTCGAGAAAAAAATCTTACGAACGATTCTGCAAGGCGATATTTTTTACTCACTAAAAACTTCAAACTACTAAAAACTGACTATCGATGAAGGTATTTTACGTACGAAGTACAGTTTATTAATGTCAATCGCGCGCGCAGTCAGCAGTTCCACCCTGACCCAAACATTTCGTGTTAATATTAATATCATTGAAAAGTTAGTTAACGTTCGGTCACCAACCAAGCCGCGTTTGCTAATACCATTAACCATTACCATTTTAACCAATATACCATATCTTACCATACAAGTTTCTACTATTTATTTGTTGGATTTACGCCCAACAAAAACGCTTTAAGTTTTACGTCCAGTGATATGATACCGGTAGAAAAATTAGGACAAAAGATTACTAAGATTTTCCGTTTGATAAAATTTAGGAATTTGTAGATAATCTATTATGACCTACTCGTATTTATTAATGAGACTACGACCATAATGTCCTAAAGTCAGTATCATCGTGGCTTATACTACCGCGTCGCAAGCAAATCGGTTTTCACACGCATACATATAGGCGCATCTATTAAGCATATAGATACTACTACAAGGGGCTCAGAATACAGATTGTTCTGTATTCTGAGACAAGGGGTAAACTTTAAAAAATATAACAATAAACAAAAAGCCTCTGCACTGTCATAATTACCTTAACGTCATCCCTTCATTTAGAAGTCTTCTGTCTTAGTTATCTATACGTTATCTTATCGGCTGAGATTGTGCGAGTTTTACAAAAACATTATAGTACGACAACGCGGTCTGAAGCGCAGTCGAGTCCCCATTATTGCATTATCTTTACTTACCTATTATCGTAAAAATACGTAAAGATATTCCACTACGAAATTGATAACGTATACAAATATTTTTGCCGCATCATTCATTACGTGCCCAGCTACGAAATTTAAAAGAAAAATATGAGTATCTGCAAACGCTATTGTATCTTCGTATCTTCTAGAATCATGGCGATTGGAAAAGACCAAAATTAAATAACAGATAGCACATTATTTTTGTCATTATTATCTGTGTTTGCTAATCACTGGACCATAGGGTCATCTGGGAGACGTACGGAGAGATTTAGACAATTTTAATCTTAATGATATGGGGCCCAAACCGGCGACTATCCTTGTATGCACTATAGCAATGCACCCAAGGACAGTCCCCGGTAAGTGTAGGAATATTGCGGATAATGGAAACAAGGGATAAGGCTATTGGTGTGAGTTGCTATGGACCGGTACGATGGGAACTATGGAAGGGCTATATTATTATTTGACGTTCATATCGGTCCTTAACTAACTACACATCTCAAATCGATAATTGACGGGTTTCACGTTTTAATCCTTTAAGATGAAGCTGTTTATTGCACTTCTAACATTTGATCATGATATTTTCAGACAATAAGAAGTCGTTATTCGGAATGTAGTGACAGTAGTTTGGCTGTCAACAATGACTTTTCGAAAGAGGTTTTTTTCGTCTCCTGTAAAGATGGTTAAAAATGAATACTACTATTATTGTTAGTGTAAGGACCGTGTGAGACTTGCCGCGCTTTTGGACTACCAGTTATCTGCGTTCTGACAGTTTGAGTACTTGCGCGACCCAACCAAATGTTCTTTAGATCGGTATTGTTCGTCGGACAACTCGGCAGCACTTGCTATGCTGGTTGCAAACTGACACTTGCGTGCCGGTCTTTAGAACGGGTCCACTTAAACTGGTGTGGTTCTTTCATCAAAAGACCACTACAGAATGAACTTGCACGGTTCCCTCACATTATGTAATTTTTACATTGTCTGCACTTGAAAAGAGACTGACCTCTGAGTTTGTTTCGGCATTTCTTCTCAGAGTAATCAGATAGGAAATGCCGGCTTCATCTAGTTTTTCACATATAAATTGACGTGTAAAAGTGCCGTTTTATGGCCTATTTGCAAAAATAAATTCATTGTTTCATTGTTTCAATATGAAATAATATGATTTGCTTATGGTTTATTTCTACCAACTTGCAGTGAATCGTGCGCACATGTAGACCCTAAAAATTGTGAAGTACTGCGTAACTAGTTGCTTCCCGTTGACACAGATAGGATGAGACGATTAGCTGATAAGATTACGCATTAGTCTGGAGCAACGTAATATTTAACTATCCCATGTGATGACAGACAGAAAGGAAGTTGGATATTATACTTAGGTAGTTTTTTAGTCTGTAACTATCTGACATTCCCTCTCTGAACCTGCAGGAACAGTTATTTGAAGGTTTTGTTTTGAAATATATATGGACAGACAGACATTTTTGGATTGATTTGCAAGCTTGAATGTTTTATTAAATACTAGCTTTTGACCGCTACTCCGTTCCCGTGGAATAATGACTTTCTGCAGATTTTTGGTATAAAAACTATCCTATGTCGTTTCTCGAGTAGAAATTGGTTCAGTAGTTTAGGCGTGAAGAAAAAACAGACGGACAGACAGACATACAAACGGACAGACAGAGTTACTTTAGCATTTATAATATTAGTTTGGATTATTTGAAAATTATGTCTATACTTTTTATAGAAAAGATTTATAGCATAACAATGTTTTTTTTGTTTTAAACTGTCTATTATAATTTGTTTGAGTTTAAAAATGTAAAACAGATACATATAGGTATCATGAAAGTTTACCCAGACAACAAAGATAGTAGGGAAATTGATGACAAGTGGAGGAGGGAGGAGGGAAGGACGCCAGACATTAATTTTATTAACAGGGAGAGGTTAATGACTTGCTTTCCATTTGTTTTCTTTAAGCGCTAATTATTCAATAGCTAAATGTTATCTGAGGAATAAAATTTTTGCTGTCACTGTCTTATACAAACATTATGATGCGACAGCATCATAAATATTCCCCAGATAACTTTTATCTAACCATTGAAAAATCAGCCCTAAATAAAATACGTATCAATTATTAAATTAATAAGCTATAGTTGTTGCTAAGGTGTATCATAATTTTAAAGCTATTAAAAACTCGATAACAATTACCATAAAGGCTGGTCAAGTCGTGCTTGGGATAAAAAAAAAATTATGTATATGTGGAGTTTTGAAACTGAATCCAGATTGGTTTTTATTTGGTAACATTTAGCTTTTCAATCATGGTAATTCGAGACACAATATAAGAGCAAAAGGTTTGCGAACGCCGGCGTTCGCTTGGTGTTTGATAATTTATTCAGAAAATTCTCTGACAAGCTGTTATACAACAATTATTGAATAATATCAATTCGAAATCTTTAATCCATCCATTAATTGATGTTCTAATTATGAAGGCCATGTTATATGTATACTGTAAAACCTAACTAAGAGAACTGACTGACAGACTGACAATTTTTATCTTCAAGCTTTGTTTGACGTTCAAAGGTAACTTCAAGAGTCTAATGAAAATTGAATACATGATTTTGACTTTGAAACCTTCTACAATTTACTTATAATATGGTTATTTGACAAATGTTTTGTATTTCCTTAACATATATGAATACAGTATCGAGAGCAAACATGAAGTTACTATACTGGGTGGACTCAACGAGTTCTGCGTGAAATTCTTCGGCCCTCCAGGCAGTGAGTATAAACACATTTGTTTTCTAATAATAATAATAGGAAATTGTAGATCCCACATGACGAGAATCTTTTGAAAGCTGAAAAAGATAAAGCAAGTAAATATCTTGATTTAGCTCATGAGATTGTCGACATGTGGGATGTAGACTCAGCAATCATTGTGCCGATAGTCGTTTCTGCCAATGGTCTCATGGCTAAAACCCTTGATAAACACCTAAGCAGGCTTACGTTAGATGGTTGGGTCAAGAATCTGATACAGATAGCTGTACTTCTAGACACGGTGCGCTGTCCGGAGATTCCTTTCTCTGGAGCCCTGACCACTGGTTGCTTGGAACTCTCCCGTAACCGGTGGGATACTGCTTTTTATATTTTTAAGTGCTTTTCTTTTTTTTTTTGTTTTGTGATAATATTTAAAAATGTAAAAATCAAGATTAAAAATAAATATATTAAACAATAAAAGAAATTGTAGTATCACTTGGCTCAACTTTGTATAGAGATTTGACTTCTTTTTAGACCTTTATCGAGATTTGGATAGCTTTTTACACAATGTTCTTATGTAATTTCATCTTTATTTTTAATAAAAATGTAATAATGTATTGCTTTTATAATTTTATATAATGTTATGAATAAATAAATAAGTAATAGTTTTATACTTCTGTTTTCCAAGTTTGTTGTATGTCCCTTGGACTTGAACTTGGCTATTTGGAAGTTCAGAGACTAGAAACAAAGTAACAAAAACCTTTTTTTTTATATGTGATGGGTTGGCAAACGAGCTTACGGATTACTTGATGGTAAGCAATCTGTGCCGCCCATGGACACCCGCAACCACAGAGGAGGTGCGAGTGCGCTGCCGATATTTTCGGGATTAGGGTGTTAAAGATTTAGGGATTGAGGAGGGCGGCGGAACACACGGCGAAACACAACGCTGTGGTTGTTTCACGCCGTTTTTCTGTGACACCGCAATTCGTACAGAAGCATAACGCTCTTACACTTTAATAAAATACACTTATTTACACAAATTGCTGAAATTTCCAGCTCCATACGAGGGTGGTGTGTGGCGAGTCCGCGTGCATCTCCCCGACCACTACCCCTTCAAGTCTCCCTCCATCGGCTTCATGAACAAGGTCTACCATCCGAATATTGACGAGGTGTCTGGCACCGTATGTCTTGACGTCATCAACCAGGCCTGGACTGCGCTTTATGGTGAGTTGTGTACCGTGGATGTAGATGAGTCTCCTCAAGGTCGAGGTTCGACTGAATAGGTTGCTTTGGAAGACATGTTTTGTAGCAGGCCGCATTACCACTTACCACCAGGCGAGATAGCCAACCGGTTTCCTTCGATTACTAGGTCGAAATAAATATTACTAGCAATTTTTCAGCTTTTCAATTTCTCAGTAATGGCACAGATTTTAGAAATTTGTTTTTGTGCAAATAGCAGTAGGTTATAAGGTAGGTAGGTACGGCCGTCGTATCATGGCGAGTCTGAAGTTAGGCGTTTGTCCGCGCAATGGATCATTTAGGAACGAAATTGTGTACTGCGCAGTTAATCGGCTAACTTCAGACTCGTCAAGATACGTTGACGGTATTGTAGCGGGAGCAGGAACTGGGTGGTTTTTAGTCAATTGATGATTTAACAAAAAACAATAGTCTAGGTATTTAAAGGTCCAGTTGGGTCTGCTAGGGTCAAACGCAATAAGGGACCGAGACCTTGGCCTGGAGCAGGAGAAGAAATAGGGGGGCTATTTGATCAGTACGAGTCCCTCTCGCCTTACCCAGAATGGGAGAAGTCAATTGACGATTTTACCTCTCCAAAAAAAAAGTCAATGTAAAGGCCTGTTAGTGTTCTATGCAATGTTAACTATGATACATAATGTTTTAGTTTCAATATCATTATGACCACAAAACAGATGGTATTTGACCACAGACTGCGGTCAACCTATTGTCATATATTTATCATAATTATTGTACTAGTGCTATGCGCCATTATCTTCTATAATATAAAATAGAATCGCAAAATGTGTTGGTAAGCGCATAACTCAATAACGCCTGAACCAATTTTGCTTTTTTTGTTATGTTCGTTATTACAAGGAGAAGGTTCTTACGAGAGAAAATTTTAGAAAAGTAAAAGCGAATAGCGTTAATTAACGACTCTCGACGGCGTGGCCTTTCGCTTGCAAAACAAATGACAGACACCACTGTAGGGGTACCCGTGCGAAGCAGGGGCGGTCTGCTAGTTTGTGTAATATACATAATCCATGATTCTCTCTAAACGCTGTCTCATAATGTGTATGTGGTGTATGGTGTATGGTTACTCTAAAGGGGTAAACTTGTTTTTTGTCTACGTAAACAAAAATTGATAAATGCGTAAAAGTTTTTTTTTTGAGAGAGAAACGTCATTATATTACGTCTCTTGCCCTGGTCGAGGCAAGAAGGAGTGTTTACTCTTACTGACTAAAAACTACCCCGTCCCTGTCCTGCTCCCGGTCGAGGCCGTGGTATAATATTCAATTTGACCTAAAACCCCGACCTTGACCCGCAAACCCGACAAAATGTATCAGTAAGCCTTGTTTTTTAGTGAAATGTGTCGATTTTAATACATATAGGTTTACATAAACCTAGTCACAGTTTTATTTTTATTTATGGCTTTTATTTATGATATAAACTCCATTTTAATTTTAATTATGATTTTTAGTAGTTGGTAGTGTAAATGCCGGATTGTTTATTTCAAGGGTTGCATTAACAGCTCTCTCTCCTGGTCCTCTCTGTTCCTAATACTGTCCATCAAATTAATGTTGCTAGTCTTCCTCAACGCCTATCCTACCTACACTGTATTAAATAATTCTTTCTTTATGCTTCTCTGAATATATTATTAGTGTTACACTATTCGCACAATACATAATCGAACCAACTTAATAATGTACCAAAGAACCTGTATGTGAAACCGATTTAAAAAGAGTACCCATGTAGTATCTTGCTCGTTCTTCATCGGAATCTACACTTTGGAACGAGCAAATAGCTTCACTAAGGGGACTGAACGACAGATTGACACGTTTTATCTTTAAAATTTTGTTTGACATTCAAAAGTGCCTGTAAGTGTCTAATTGGAATAAATGACGCACAGAAAACCGCCGTGAAACAATCAAAGCGGTGTGTTTCGCCGTGTGAGTGAGGTTACCGGAGCCCCAATCCTTCCCCTCCCCCAATCCCTAAATCTCCAATTCCCTAATCCCCAAAAGGTCGGCAACACACTCGTAACTCCTCTGTTGCGGGATTCGACTGCTCGTTTGCGGACCTATGACATAAAAAAAGAAAAAAAATGATTTCGATGTTATTTTGTTTTAATTACAGACCTGTCGAACATATTTGAGTCGTTCCTGCCGCAGCTGCTGACGTACCCCAACCCCATCGACCCCCTGAACGGCGACGCCGCCGCTATGTATCTGCACAAACCTGAAGAGTACAAGAAGAAAGTTTCAGGTAAATATATTCAAAAACTTGCTTATTAACCCTTACTTGAATTACACCATGACTTTAACGACTTACTCACGTGAATTAACTGAGTAGAGCTCGACTAGTTTCAAGCCACAGCGGGACTCTTATTAATGAGCAGCGTGCGCGACGCGGCGACCTAACCCAACTGAAAGAGAATAAGCCAAATTAAGTATGTCTCACGATCGTTACTATTCAAAATTAGTTATTCTAATGCACAATTTCATGAAGATTGGCTAAGTGATAGACTAAAGACGATTATTTGTACTAGATATTTTCATGAGGGTCACATGGTCAGCCTATTAATGCCCACTGGAAAGCCATTACACTTGATTAAGAAATGCGAGCTACCACGAGTTCCTTAAAGAACATTTCTGAAATATTTCATCTTCTTTTTATTCAATGAACAGAAAAGAAGAAATGCGTCTCATTTTTGTATACATATTTATTTTCGCCACTCTGATTCTGTATGGAAGTACTGGTTTCTTCTTAGCGATCGAGGCACGTGTTTGCCATAAACATGTCTGATATGCGCAAATATTGCGCATATCAAGACATTAATGGAGTTTCTAATTTATTGCTAACAAAATTGTGTACTGCGCGTCGTGTGAATTCTAGGATACATTATTAACGATCTTGGTATAGTTTCCGGGTCTACTATATTTGCTATTTCGTATTTTAGTCTTCTAAATAACAAGTTGTTTTTACATAATTCTTCTGTCATGTGTGTTTGTAATATTCTTGACTGGATAGACTAATCTTTTTTTATTCTCTGCATCACCCTAAGGTTGACTGGTGAGAATGCCTTCGGCTTTAAGTCCGCCTATGTAATGTTTTGTTGCATAAAGTTTAAATAAATAAATAATCGAACTATACGCAATGCGTTCCTTAAATATCCGAAACATTATTCCCCAAAAGGTCGGCAACGCACTCGTAACTCCTTTGGAGCTTTAGGTGTCCGTAGGCGTCGCGGATTGCTTACCACGAGGTAATACGAAATCTCGTTTGTCGCCCTATCTAGCCCTTCGACCGTGATCGTGGCCTCGACCTGGAGCAGGAGAAGAAACGAGGAGGTTTTAAGTCAGTAATAGTCCTCCCTCTTGGTATATCCTAGGCGGGAGAGGTCATTCATCTATTTAATGATTTTCCCTTCAAAAAGGGGGATAATCTAGCTTATTGTATCCAGAAAAACTGTTAAGATATGGACTATGTATATATAGTATGACCATGTATGTATATGTATATATATAGAGTATGTATCTCTATGTATGTAGTAGGTTAAAAGTTACTATGACTCGATCAGCTGTTGATTCTTGACATTGTATTACTAGCGACATATAGTCTATCGCGTCCCCATTGACGGACAAAAAATGGCTGACGGCCAACTCTTGTTATAATGACGTATTTACTAACTCTGCCAGATTGTGCACTCTGATTTCGTTTAATGATTAATGCTGACGTTATTAATGACGGTTGGTGCTATGCAGATGCGTCTAATGAGTTTGATTACTGCTAAAAATATTATTATTACAGAATATAGTCTTTATGATGTTATGTGTAAAATTGTGTGTTGGTTTTGATACCATAGAAACATTTAGTGTAGGGCAGTGTTTTTTAAACAACAGATACAATCACATTAGACCTCGTTTCCTATAACGTACAACTATTCAAACGTTTGTACGGAGGTAAAGCAAGGCAAAGACCAATGTGACTTTTTCCGAGCTATGAGTACTTTCTAAGTTTATTTAGACACAACTGACATACGGTGAAGGAATGCATCGTGAGGAAACCTAGATCAAATTGTTTACCAAAGACACAACCTTTCCCTTTTGTGCTCAACGTCATGCTCAAGCCTTCACCATGTGATAGGTCGCCTTTGCTCTGCAGTAACTACGTAGTCTCTATTTAATCTGTGGCAGTAGGCATTTATAGTCTGGTGTGATTTATTTAAGCCTTCCGCCCTTTTCTAGACAGACGTGTCTGCTAAATTTACTCAATACTACCCAAAAATTAATTTTCACTTAAACATTTCAGATTACGTCCGAAGATTCGCGACTGAGGAGGCCCTTTTAGAAAAGGACGCGATCACCGGCATGGGGGGCGCGACCCCCGCCTCGTCGGGCTCCAAGCCGTCCAACGGCAATGCCAACAATAATAGCGATACAGAGAGCTCCATGAGCGAGTTCAGCGATGACGAAGCGCAAGACATGGAGTTATAACATAAGCTACGACAGATAAGTAAGACTTGCTCACTCGCCACTGCCTTGTGTGTTTAAAAACGAACGTTTTGTTTGTGGTCTAATGTTTTCTTTTATGGCAACACCTGTATAAAAAGCTGTCACTTTGACATCTTCTCTTTGCTGTCACTTTTGACAGTTTGTTTTGAATGTTGCCATTTTATTGGTTTTCATCGTTTTACGTTTTATTTATGACTTGTGTAACTAAAAAAAAACTATTTTTGGTTTTCTGAATTCTTTATGAGTAGAATTATTTTGAATAATTCGTTAAAGTATTTGTCAAAGATTTCTTGCAGTAAAGGGATTGGCCATGCTGGCTAACTGTAATGATTCTAATGCATGATTTTTGCATTCATTTGAAAATAGCATACTAAGACAAAAGCAATCATTTATGTATTGTATTACAGTCGATATCCAAACAATGTTTAATATGTTGTTCAGTCAGTTCAGCAAGGAGCACGGACAATCTCTTAATTCTTCAATCAATGTGTACCTTTGCACAATGATAGTAATTCCAAATGTTTGACAACTTATCTACATTTAATAATTGTAAATACTTTAACCGTTTACTTGTACGATTTTATGATATTCTAATATCCAAAAAGGTTGTAGTTGTAATAAATGTACTGAGCTGAATATGTAGGGTCGTCGTAATGTGTTTACGTGTGTTCTCTATGTGTAACGTGATTGGCTGATTATCACGCTATAATCTTAGATTAACCAATGAGCTTTACGCTGTATCTACACGTGACGTTATTTACAGCCATTAAAATTGCTAAACAAATTATGTCTACGTTAGACCACAGACAACACAATATCAATCAACCAAAAGCCAGTTATCTGTACTCATACAGACGTTCGCCGCCATCTTAATATTTTGTAAAAAAAAGTAAAAATATCTCTATATCAATGGACCACGAACTTTGCCAATTTAGAAGTAAAAAAAAAAATGCTCAGATATCCCTGTGGCGGCGGACACAAAACGCTTTAATGTTATATTTTAAAATTATAAATAAATAAAGTATATTATGCATGATGATCGTAATTATATTTGAAATAAAAAAAAATATGGTAAAATTTAACTTTTTTTAGTCGTTCGGTGTGTTGGAAAATGTTAAGGTTTCTTAGGAATGTTTGGCTTCTCTTAATGTGTATATGCTTAAGATTAGCTGAAAATCGGTAGAGAAAAAAAAAGTGTTCACGAGTCGTTATGTAGGAGTAGGCTTGGAAACCGATGGGTGGGCGCAACTAGAGTCAGTACTAAATGAGAGCTTAAGAGCAAAATTTCAGTAGGTATTTTCCTCTTTGTCTTCGAAATTGAGGTTCAATATTAGCTCTAGTTGCGTCTAGGATGTAGGGAATTGATTGATCTTGGTCTTTTTGCACTGTGTTGCTAGAAGCGATCGTTGTGTAGTCTTGACCTAGGTCAATCATTTCTTCTCGTAGGTATGTAGGAACGTACTTGTTGTAATTTTAATATTGCTAAATATACTAATATATAATAATATCAGTGTTTACATACACAGAAAGAACAGATATTGATCACCAAATTATTTCTCTTCGTTTTTTCGAAGAAAGATTGATTTAACAAGCAATGACATTTGGTTAGCTCACATTTCCGCTATAATATGTATATTCAGTATACTAGCAATATTACTATTACAAAAAACACCGCTAGGTTAACCTAACGAACATTTAAACATTAGATTTTAACTTAAAGACGTACGCTATATTCTTGAAGATAACTTTCGAAAAATAAATATATATAATTAAATGTATTATAGACTACTAACGTAACCTATTTAGTTGGAGAGTTTTCACGACTGGCAACACACACGGTATGAGTGAGCGAGATAGCATTTTGTAAATATCCTATCTGTCCCATAGTATAAATCCAACTTAATGAGCCCGAGTCGTCGGACTGAAGTCATCACTATATCTCATAGGTATTTAATTTTTTTTATTAATATGATTTTAGTTGTATTCGAAACGATGTGTCATTGTGAAATGTCGATCTCCCTCTTGTGACGACCGAGCTGGGCGGGATGTTCAGCCATTTTATACTCATATTCTTGAGATTTTATCATTTTTTCTCTATAATTATACAGCTGCGCTTTTAATAAATACACTTAGGATCTTAACTACGATATCTTACATCATTAACTATTTTCTACTCTTCTACTACGGTTGTTCATCGACCTAGTTTTTCCAAGTAATATCAAAATCAGTCTCAAATATTAACTATATCGTAAATTCAGCTATTAATCTGTCTACCTCAAAATTTCGAATTTGTCTTTAATTATGTTGCTGATTAATTCCCACCCAGCCCATGTTTTTCATTGTTGGCAACACTCCTATAGATTGTCTATGCTCTCGCCAATGTTACCTGTTGAAAGAATTGGCTCTTTACTAATAGCGATACTGTGATTTTCGTTTCTTCCCTTTGGTTTGTGTGAATGGATACTAATTGAAGTCAATTCGTCGAAAGAGGTCGAGAATTTTATATATTTAAAAGAAATAAAAACTGTACTTAGTATAATTGCGGTTTGACGATTTTAGATTTGTTTGTTGCTATATATTTTTTCTTAGCACAATCATTATTTTTTATGCTTCGAACACCGCCAATTTGGTACGATTTTTTTAAATCGAATTTTAATTTTATTCGATGTATTAATATTAAGCATATTATGCCAACATTAGTCATTGTCGTTTATCTTAATTTACTTTTTAAATTTTAAGTGAAGTGTTTTTGTTATTGTTCAATACAAAAATGAAAATGGGGGGCATTATTTGACAAGATGAAACAAGTTCATATTATGTCTACGAGGTAATAATTACAAAGACCATTTACCTATAACAAGAATACAACCTTTGGTACCATATCCTGACGTTTATCCAGAACAAATACTATTCAATATCATACTGTTAGAAGTTGGTTGGTTTTCAAAAACGCGATATGGTCCTTGTGATAAAGTTATAATTATACTTTTTTAATACTCTCTTGATTTCATGATGCTATCTCTACATTATGTATATCTGGTCAGTTTAATATTTTTGCTACATAAACAATTCACTCAAAAACCGACCTTAAAACCATAATAATGACGTATATTTTTCATAAAGGTTGTGTTGTGGCGGTGTTTATAAGCAGTTTATTCAGTTGGCAGAATGTTCACCAAATACTATAGATAGCATTTTGTTCGAACGCCTAGACTACTGGTTATTTGAAAAATTTACATTCAAATTTGGACCCTATTAAAAGACTTAACATCACAAATTTCATCAAAACAAAATTGTAATATTAGTTAGTTATTAATAAATAATAGTTTAAACAAAGCAATCTTAGATTTAATTCAATGAATAGTTATATGTATGATTATGGGAGAATTGGATGTATTTTTTCAAATATCTAGTACGGTGACGAAACAAGCTGATCCTGCCAGATGTTGGTGTTATAACAAGTTTTGTGATGTTCTTTTTGTTTAAATATATTTATAAAACCGAATTAATTAATGTTATATGTTATATTGGAATTAATATTATCGATATTATAATTATACACGCGTGCGCTTCCCTTGTTTAAAATGTTATCGAGCCAGTCGACTTAGATATGTATGTTTCTCAATAATTATACTTAATAAGACTTAAAGTTTTTTATCTGTATGAATGGGTTCTATATGGCTGACTATCGCGGCGAAATATTTATTTTATTATGTTGCTATATTTCTTTGATAGCGAACATATCAGTAAGCTTGCACGCGAATCAAAAAGAACATTTCAAAAAGTATCTTAATACAGATCTCTTCTGGCTCTTGTACATAATGAGCCGGGTTATATATCCAACTATTTACTCAGTTAACGTGTTCACTCATTGTACCCATGCATGGGCAGTCAGCTCGGGTCATTGTGTACAAGTGCTCTCAATGTTAGACACATTGCGAACAGTAAGTGTTGCAATCTTATTCATAAGTCCTTAGGCTAAAATAATATAGATATAAAAACAAACACGAAAAAAATATAATTAATGATAGACATTTATCGTATCTTTGAAAACTCAGCCATAATAATATATTATATTTTTGGTAATAAGGAAGTAACAAGTTAAAAAATTTCTTAGTTGTACTTCAAGTGAAGTTGGGTTGACTGGATTTTGTCTGAAAATTTTATTTGTCCACCCAGCTTTTGTCATATGAATATACAGTTAGAATAAAGTCGCTGTGGTGTCGATGTGTAGCTTATAATACTTACGGAGAGGATAGCGAGGGTTTTTAAATAACCACAGATTATACTCAAACATTGTTTTAAGAACAGGAGTAACTAAACGTAAAAAGTAAATGGTAACATTAAAAAAATCGATGGCGAATTTAAAATCCCTCGTTAGCGATAACAATGGTGACGTGAAACATTATTATCGATAAATGTGAACTTTATTTTTTTCTAATAATTGACAATATGGCGTCGAATCACGTCACAATTGTTCGGTTTATGGATATAATTATAATCGAGGTTGAATATATTACCAAAATACAACGGGCAATCCGCCCGCGGCACGGAATCATTTATACATGTAACAGAATAAAAGTTTATAATATTATATTTTTATTTCATTACATGTAATAAACTTACGTTATTTTTAAACTATATCTGTCTTTTATTGTTCACTCTATAGTTTCCCATACTTTTTTGTCTCATAGACCACTTTTGAATATTTCCTGGGTCCAGTGGCTGCATCTCCAAACGAGGGTATATTAAAATTAACCCCAATACCGACTCTTTGTGGTAACATAATTTCAGCTAACTAAAGTCCTGTCATGAAGGACTATCCTATCGGAAGAGGACATGGTGTCCTAAGTCCCAGGTTTGAAAGACAAGGCGCGGCACAGTAGGTAATCGGTGGTAAATATCTCTCACTGAGGAATGTCGTAACTGTCGACTGAGTTAATAGTATAACAATATTTTTTTCGGACGGATTACCTGATGGTCAGTGCCACCCGTGGACACCTGCAACAGAACAGGAGCGCATTGGCGGCCTTTTAAAAGAAGTACGTTCGTTTTGCTTTCGTATCGGTTCGGAAATACTGCCGTCGAAAGATTATTCCAAAGTTTTCCTGTGCGAGGCAGAAAGTTTCGCGTAAATCGCACAGTTGTTCACTGCCAACCATCTATATGTATATGATGGGGATGAAAATGTTTTCGCGTGGGTCGATCGCGAAAGTTGCGGCGTCGATCAAGCCGAACAATTCCTCGTAGCACTCCCGTGGTATATGACACATTGCGAGGCTCGGGTCTGCGGACGGCGAGTAAGGGTAGCTGGCCGGTCGACCAGAACCAGACCCGAGCGTACGGTGCGTAGCGACCCACGCGTGCCTCAAAGAGCCAATAGACCACCATAGACGGGGCCCTATAGGGCTGATGTTTAGCCAGGGTTGCGGGGCAAGCGCAATGTGGCACCGCGGCCTTAGCCTAGAGCAGGATAAGGAACGGAGGAGTTCTTAGTTCTCACCATGGTCGGGAGAAGTAATTGATAATATCCCCATAACAAAAAAATAAAAATAGCTTCTTCGAGGCTAACTTAGCTTTGCCCTCTAGACTTCGCTCGATGATATGTCGACACCAAGTATCCCAATAATGGCTAAGGCTGTTGGGGGGTGTTCTGAAATATGACGGACGGCAGTTTTTCAGACGTGCAGACTATTTTCCGAGAAATGTTAGCACGGCCGCGGTCTGTTAACTGGCATCAGCCATGCTGTCATCCGCATAACAATGAATGTAAATCCGTGATTTGCAACATGACATTGATATGGAGGAGGAACAGGGTGGGCTTAAGCATGCAGCCTTGAGAAACATCAGCGTTCACAGATGCAGTCAGTGCATTCACTGTCGACCACGACCTTTATACTTCTGTCTGCACGGAGGCTGGTGACCCATTTACATAATTACTCGAGAAACCCATAGGAAGAAAGCTTTGTAAGAAGCGCTCTATGCCAAATCTGATCGAAGGCTTTCGGCACGTTCAAACCGCCATCGTTTTGCCCTGCACTCGATCGCCTGTGCTCAACAGTGTGTTAAATAAACTAGAAAAATTCACATTTTTTATAAGTAAGCAATCAGCGCCGTCCATGGCATCAACAAAGGAGTTACGAGTGCGTTGCCGACCTTTTGGGGATTACGGATTTGGGCATATAGGAATTAGGAAAGGATTGGGCCTCCGGTAGCCTCACTCACACGGCGAAACACAACGCTGTGGTTGTCTCAAGCCGGTTATCTGTGAGGCCGTGGTATTACTCCGGTCGAGCCGACTCATTCGTGTCGAACCATAGCTTTCCGGCTTTCCCACATTTGCGAAAACCGTACTGTCGGTCACTAAGAAGCTGAAAAGAAAATAATGACTAAAACAAGTTTTAGTTAAAATATTAGAAACAGTAAGAAGTAACCATCTCAAATATTAAGAAAAACCCTGCTGATGTTAATTGTAGAAATAAAACAACAAATTGATTTATTAACATAAGTAACTATATTAAAAATAAACATTTTAACAACAGGCTCTATGTACATTGTACAGTATGCCATAACCTATCTACACTCATACAGTAAGAGGGTGAACATTTGCAGCCACCTCGAGACTTGATCACTCAGATCATTACAATATTTGGTTATTTATTTAGCACACAAGTTGGGCATTTTGGGTAACATTCGATGTGACAACAGCCCACATATAACAACTTTGTATGATCACAAATGTGATTTGAATTTGTATAACACACCCACTAACATGTTTCAATTGTTTTACTACACACTAGATACAATTCAATTCTAATTAACATGTTGTTTCTGTCTGTGTATAGTTTAAAAATACACTACTTTATATCAATGTTACGCAAAATGCCTACAACATAAAATACATAGTTTATTACATATAAATACATATGCTATCGACAACGAGTTGCAAATGTCCACCTTCTTGTAACGCCGTAGCAGCGAATGGCAGCGAAAAGACATCAAGCTTGACTGAACCCCAGTATAGATGGGGTCGTGTTATTCTGTAGGGGACGTCAAAACAGGGGGACCCAGATTGTTGCTCACTCTAAGATATTAAAGGCAATCAAACAATATAAAAAGAAGTCTTGTATTAAAATAATCCTATCCTACTAAATTAGCTATAGGCATAAAATATCGCGAATCAAATGATGCAGTTAGGATTTTGAATAGGAAGTTAATTTAACTAACATTATTTTAACAATCTTAGAGCGAGTTCTTATGTCATAAATGCGATTCTGGTGTTATGCAAACAGTATAGCGTAATAATATAAGAAATAAAAATAAGGTATACATAAAACGTCCAAGAAAAAAGTATCAATACATACTTTACATGGTGTCCGGGCTCATATCAATACATTCACACAACTTGTGATACATATATCTATTAATTTATTTAGGAATCATCTAACATATGCAAGTAACCTACATTTTGGACTTCCATATTTTTATAAAATACACTTAGATAATAAATTACTTAAGTTTGTACATTTGTAGCAGAAAATAAGTGAAAATTATTAAATAACATTTCAAATACATTAATTAAAATTGTTTAAATACTACAAGAATTTAAAATTATTGCATTGAAATTAGGATAGTAAATAAATAATATTCAGAATTCGTCCCAAAATTATGAACATTGATATTTACTTGAATGGAAGTCCAATAACTAGGTTACCTAACACCAACCAACTGAATATTAGACTAAATTAATATTACATTAACAAATCAAGCTAGTGGTCATACAACAAGTGAAAAAATCAGACAAAAGTATATTACACAGAAAGTTATTGAACACATTCAAATTAAAAACATGATCTTATTATGTGTGATACATTTATATGCTTAACTCGGTGGACATAAAGTTTTGAAAATGCAACACCCAATACAGCCTTTCATAAGCTAACATTATTTTATATCGCAACAAACTTAGAATTCCAATCAAAAACATAATTAAGTATAAACAGTCCAGCTATTTAAGTAGACACAATGAAATCCACATTTGCAACACACTTCATACTTGTAAAGACACAAATATTTTATAAAATGATAGAGATAGCACAATATTAAATTGAGTGGCAGTTCAGTATTCAGGCGACAGATATCTAAAGCAGTAGAACACGAGTTTTTATACAACACTTGCATATATGTCTATTTTTCTTTCCACACCACGCAACGAAGATAAAATTTCACACTGAATAACTTATTCACTTGAAGGATTATTTAACTTCACTTTTAAATCACACATGATCACTAGCTTGACTCGTCTCTCAGTCATCACAATCACTCATTAACCGATGATGAGACCGCAGCCAAATTTGAACTGTTGCTTCGCCTGATTGGCCATGCCCGACAGAGCAAATGTGAATGGTAGGGGCTGCAACTTCTTCTCGAGAACTGCTCCAATGTTCCAATTTGAGTCTACCATTCCTGGAAAGAAAATGTCAAAAGATGATTTAATTACGTGTGTCAACGTGTATCTTTACAGATAGGTTTTATGGGTGATAAATAATTATTAAGCTTCAATTCACTTTCAAGCCTGGTGTTAAGCGATGATGCCTACGATGGAGTATGCCTACCCATTAGCTACCTATTAACACAGGCCTTGAAGATACCCAGGTAAAGCCTTCAGGGAACATAGACTCCGGCAAAGAATTCCCCTCCTTAACATTTCTGTTTTAAATTGATTACATAACAGAGTATATAGTGGTACTTGCCTCTGAAGATTAGATCTGCCTTGGGTATGTTAACCTGGTAGCCGATGGTGCCGACTGATTCCATCCCTCTGAATGAGGTGTCCATTTCCGCCACAACCTGGAATCACATCAAAATAATAAGTTTTTTATAATTTGACTTGTGATTTGCTGTAATAATATGTTCTAGTTCAATTCTTTATAGAAGAGTGGTTTTACCTGTAATTGTTCACTGCACTGCTTGAAGTAGCACAAGTGGAAGTTAGCCGTGCTTAGGGTCGCCGATACTTCAGAGTCTAGAAATAAAGCAAAAATATTTCGATTAATTTATATTTAAGCAAACTTTTTGGGAACTTTACTTATTTCTTTGTCTATTCTGTATGGAGACATGTAATTATGTATGGCGTGCAAATTAAGCATAACCGTATGAGAGTGCGAGGCATGCAAGTAACGTATAGTTACTGCACACTGGTCCGAGTGAAAGGTTTTCTTTGGGAGTTAGACGCGAAATATATTCGGTGTTTCACTCAATCCTTGAACCATTTACCAGAAAAGGCAATATTTAAATAAGGGATTTAAATCAACTACGAATTAAGTTCTTATTGCAATTAGCAATGATATGTTGATTTAATTGGTACGTAGTTAGAGGAGTTTTATCCGTGTAGCAAAAAATCCAGTTTTATATTGTCTTTCTATATGTATTATTCAAAGTAGAGTAAACTGCACGGTTGGTGCGGTGGCTGGGCAACTGGCTGCCGCGCATTGTGTCGCGGGTTCGATTTCCAAATTGTTGTTCCGGGTCTGGGTGTGATTTCAAGTGATGTGTATGTGAAATTTGTTTGTAAACGCACCCACACGACACAGGAGAAAGTCCTGGTATGGGGCAACGTTTTTAAAAAGAAAGAAAATGATTCCTTTTAGTATACATAGTTTTGATGAAGATAATGTCAATACTTCTAGCAGTGTATGTATGAATGGTTCTTACCGTCCATGGTATATCTGGCGGCGGCGGAGGTGATTGCGATCTCCCCGCCCATGACGCGAGCGCCCGATTGGTACACCAGCTCCGTACCCAGCGCCAGACGCTTCGTAACCGACTGTAATCAAGATTTTTTCATCTTAATTTTTGTTGTTTCAAGGAAATTCATCGAATGAATTCTCTCGCCTAGATGGTGAGTGTGAGAGTGTCAAGCTCTTATGGACCACCCCGTTTTTTCTCCCACACGCGGCTGAACTTCACGTATTACACAGTTCGAATGTTGTTAAGCGCACACCACAGTCTAAATGCAACAGGCGATGAGGCGAAGTACCACAAATGCATTGTCAACTGTGTAGAAAGCTATTTAGTTGCCCCATCGATACCAGGAGGAGCATTTACCGAAAATGGATAGCTGGCTAGAACGAGTGTTTAGTGTGAGTTTGCCTTATGTTAAGACTCGACACTTGTATGACGTCTGGCATCCTGTTTTGCCTATTCTAAGTTAACCACCAATCAGAAGCTTTTATTAAGTAATATACGCTAGTTTATTAAGTAATAAACTCAGGTATTTCGTCAATAATATTTATATAAATTAAAACAGTTATCCTTGAATGGAGTATTCAAGGATTACTGATGAAATCCCTGAGTTTTATAAATACTCAGCAATTTTTTTGCTGGTTGTTCTTAAAATTTTTATTTAGATACTAGCTACTGCCGCGCGGTTTCACTCGCTGCTCGGCTCCATTTAATCGTAGCGTAATGTTTTATAGCCTATAGCACTCGGGAACCGTGTACAGAATTTTGGAAATCCGACCAGTGGTTCCAAAGATTACCCCCTACATACAAACTTACAAATTGTACCTCTTTATAATATTAGTATAGATTTTAATAATTTACCTGTAAGTAGTGACCAACAAACACAGCTGACTTCTCATTGAAGTCAGGTTTGCCCACAGCCATTGCGAGTGTGTAGTCTGAACCCTTGTACTCCAGAGTACCCTGGGTGGCAGTCAGCTTGCATTCTTGCACCTACACAGAAATACATATTTTAGTTACATGTCTCTGACTCATGAAATCATAGGAACTAAAGTATTTGTCAGATAAAAATCAGAGATTAGATTAGTTAGTTTAACTTTTAGTTTTATTGTAACAGAGACAACGAAAGAACTAAGTTTATGAACATCTGTTTAGAATTGAAAATCTGTTTCAAAACAAGTATTTGTTACAAACTAAATATAGTTTCATTATCATTACAATAAAAAAATATTGTTAAGATTACAATCACAGCTAGGTTTCTTTTATGTGTATGCCTATGACTAATTTTCATAAAATATTTTGAATTCATTTTCTTATGGGTAGGTAGTTGAAATTTCTTTTTGAAACAATCCTATGCAATGGATTTTGGCTGGACTCACTTGTTATTTACTGTGTCTCTTATTTTTCATCATGTTAAATGTTATGCATATCTGTTAATTTCATGATTACTTATAAAGCTGTTTTAGATGCAAGAATTATTTGTATTCTAAGTAACTGTTATATTGGTGTGCTTATTATACAAAAAAATCTTTAATACTTAAAATAAAATCTTTAAAACACAATTTGTTAATCACTGAAGACAATAGTACTACAATACCTGAGCAGCTCCCTTCAGCCTGATCTCCGGAGTGAGCTGATGAATTAAGCTGAAGTTGACATTGCCTGATGGGTCTACATCTCCAAGAATTACAGGGAAGGCCTCCGAGGGAGAGATCTGCTTGGTACCAATGTATGTTGCTCCTAGTTTGTAGCCATTCTGTGCTGAACTCATTGTAAGCGTGTGAGACATCTGGAATTGTACAATTATCTTTTTAATTTATAGAAAATAGAAGTTGGCACTTTTATATTTTAGACTAGTGTAATGCTGAAGCTAAATCACTGAAAACTTGGCCTCTATTGTCAAGAAGAAGAAGAAGAAACAAGAATGGAGAACAAACAAAATTCTAAGTTCAAAAAACAGACAATTTAAAAACAATTAATAAAATATAAATATTAACTTGCTTACAAGTTTTAAGCTTATTATCTCTTTAACTGACAATATAAAAACTTAAGCTTCATTTACATAATTAATATCTTGCCTGTTGCATACAATTAAATAACAGCAATAAGCAACAAGCATGGTTTGAACATACTACATATTATAGTAAAGGAAAGAACAAAAAAATATTTAATTATTCACCAAAATCAATACACCAAAATTAAATATTTTATTTATAAAATTATTTTATTTAGGTATAAAAAATCAACTGCAAACATACAATAATGACCCTTATTGAGTTTAATTTTTGCTCTTTCACATTAAAAAATGGTATCATGAAAATGAGCCTTACTCTGGGGCCAACATACCTGGAAATGGTTGGACAATCCTCGGTTCACCATCAGCTTGCCACCTTCAAAGTTGACTGGCATCACATCTACAGACAAAGACATTTTATTTCTTAATATAAGACCTCTTTGATTTGAGATACTATGACAGGTAGTTTCAGAGTATTCTCAGATGGTGTGCTTGAAGAGTAAAATTTTGACTGCATAGCTAGTGCAGTTACTGCCTAACTGACTTCTGTGCAAAATGTTACAGGTTTGATGCCCATTTGGATTTTTTTGTGTTATCTGCAAATTATTGTTCCATGTGATGGACTGGGTGCGATGTTAGATATAAGCTGCTAAACAAATCCACAACATAAGAGAATTGGAAAGAGGCAATATTAAAAAAATATGTATATAAATAGTCATGGGCAGATAGGTAAAAATTGTAGTAAATAATGGTGTGTATATATTATTTTTATGTAAGTTTGTATGTAAATGTTATTATTATCATAAAATTGTACATTGAAGATGAAAGATTTAAGTCTTAAAAGGACTGGGTTAAATATAAGTAAATAAAAAAAATATCAACAAGCAATGACCTATTTTAAAGTCAAAACTCAATGACTAGTGCATAGTATTCATTGAATAAATGACTATGTAGCTATCATCCACTTTATGAAGCTTTTACAAGATTGATTGTTATGATAAAACCTCTTGAAAGCCAAATAAAAACAAAATGAAGTATTCACACGCAATATGCACTGTTACTAGCAATTACGCCTGTGCTAGTTTTCTCAGAAATTTGCTGATCTGATGTAGATATTTTTTGCTTTCAATTTTAATCAAAGTCAGTCAAAGTAATTGCTTCAATGTAGAACGGTGCTTTGCTCTCGTTATATCACGCGAGGTACCCAATAAATTCGAAACCCGGACGGTTGAGAACAGAAGAGGTTGATAACATTCTTATCAGAATACAAATATAGGTAAGACAGTCCACTGTCAGACTGTACATCACATCATCAATCTGTATAAAATTTTACATTATTTACCTATTTCGATTCATGACACATAATTATAAAAGTTTCTAAACGGTATTATAATGTATATTGTAGTAAATTATCAATTATTACATCACAAGATAACCCAACTTTTATGTCGGCACTTAACTATATTTGCCGCCGTTTTCTGACTGAACGCGTAACCTCATTAGCTTTTTACGAATCCAATTTACATTTTAGACACTTTTGATAGTAGCTAAAATAGTTAAAACGTGTATAAAAAATACCTTTGGTCTTTTTATGAATTTCATCTAACGTTCCGGGATTTTCACGTTTGTTCTCACTTTCAGCGGGATTTGCATCGACATTTGTGAGTCCCGAGTTGTACACACGGTATCTGCTGGATATAGCACCCATTTTGCCGTTCAATTCGTAATACTTTCCCTAAATTCAACAGAAATCGATGAACATGTGCAATGAAACACAATTCTGTGGAATAAAAGACAATCGCAGTAGCGTGAAGTTGACAGCACGGAATACCAACATAACAGAGGACATTTTCTATACCATAAACATTTTTATTGATTATTTGAAAAATTAAAATATTATTACTTTACATTTTCATAAATAAAGTGTGTTGCAATTTTAATATGGCCCTAAAGTAATTTTAATGTATCTATATGTTATATGAAATTCTCATTGTATGTTTTAGATTTTTGCTTTAGTGGGTAGAGGGGAGTAGAATATCTTTCCAAACAAAGAATGCAAGGGGCTGAAAAATAATTTGACGATTATGTTTGCCTTTCTATCAAGTTGTAAAAATAAGCTGCAAAACAAAAAGATCTTTTACATTCAGCTTTAGCTTTAGATTCAGCGTCAATTGAACAAACGTCAATTTGATTATAGATCGCTCTTGTCATTGTCATTAGTGATTTGTCAAAGTCGCGATTTGTTTGTGTAAAGTAGACGTATTTATCGAGGGTACATTAGGTATATTAATCTTTTCTAAAGGTACAGGTACAAATTAACAAACGCAGATTGTGTAAAATTATTGACAAGGGCAGGAACACTGCTCGTGAAGGAATAAAAGTGATATATTTAAACACACAATGCCGAAGGTTGTATCAAGAAGCATCGTCTGCTCAGACACGAAAGATCAGGAAGAATACAATGAGACCAAGCCTTTGCACATCTACTATTGTCTATGTGGACAAATGTCCTTAATCTTGGACTGCACCATCGACCGTTTACCCCTACGACCTACGGATTTAGCACGCGTAATTGATGGATCAAAACACGCTCACAAAATCACCGCAGATCCTGACGAGACAGTGTTCTTAAAGCGGGAAAAAGGCATAGAACGACAATATAGGATGAAATGTAAGAAATGTTCAATACCAATATACTATAAGAGTGAACAAGATAGCAACATAGTGTTTATTATGGATGGTGCATTGGTGCAGACAGCGGGTGAAGGGGGTGTCACAGATATCTATAAACAGGTGGCTTTGACGCAACCGAAAAAGATTATGGTGACAAAACACACTAAGAATATGGGTAAGTTCAGTTCTGTAACTGTCTCCACTATTGATGAGGAAGAAGATGAAATAGAAGCTAGAGAAGTAGCAGACAGCTACGCTAACAATGCTAGAATAATTGAGAAGCAGTTGGAGAGGAAAGGAATGAACAAGAGACAGGCAGAGACACCTGCACAGACTTCAGAGAAAAGAGTTAGAGGGACATTGATTGAAAAATAAATTGATATTCTTGTTTTTAATTTGGTTTTTTATTTAGATAGAAATCTGTATCTTAGGGTCGTAAAATTTCTCATTTTGACCTACATAGTACAAGAAAAATAGTTTTTGTTAGTTGTTTACTAAGAATTATTTATTTTCTTGTGTTTGTTTCCTTTCATGGGATCACAGGATCCCAATCCTTTGGAAGTTGTATGAGGGGTGGAAGCCAACTCGCAGAGGCCTGTTGAACAGTTTTAATCTAAATGTGATTGGACATTATACTTGTATGCACCATAAAATAATTTTATTTATTGTTATTGCTTATGATTTTTTTTTAATATTTATAATAAAACATGCTAGTTCCAACAATAAGAAAAACGTGAATTCGTGAATAATTTATTATTCAGGATTCTATAATTTGATTTATTTTACCTGATACTTGTTGGTGTCCACGTACTATCCACTTAGTTAATTACTTACTAAATACTTCGGGTTGGTCCAGTGATGCCGCCTTGAGGTACGCCAAAACAACAATTTGTAACCAGGCTGTAAAATAGATGCAAAGTATTTCTTGATGATTTCAGTCACATCGAATTATTATGACACACTGCTATAATACTTTTTTATTTGCTAAATTTTACTACTAACATTACTTTTGTTAAAGACTTCGAGACTAAGCCTCTGAGGAATCGCAAAAATAATTAGGTATTTCAGTTTTGTTTTGAAGTCATGAGTCAAAAGTCATGAGTATAAATGTGGATGGATGGAGAGGGAGGGGGAGACCAAAGAAAATATGGATGGATTGTGTGAGAAGTGATATGGAAGACAGAGGAGTTAGCGATAGCGTGACGAGTGACAGGACAGAATGGAAGAAAAAAAACATATTGCGCCGACCCCAAATAAAACGGGACAAGGGCAGGAAGATGATGATGAGTTTTGTTTTGAAATAAGGCTTCTTAATTAAACTACATGATCGCGTTTCTCACATTTTTTATTTATATGAAAACAATTTTACAATGTTCATTTTTAAACAATAAATATAGATAATTAATAATGTATCAATTTTAATATGGTTGACGGAATATATAACTTTTACACTTTCTTTATTTACACGACTATTTACAATCGAGATTTTTTACTGCTAGCGGTTTTTACGCTAGGAATATAAAAACGTACTTAAAATCATATTTCTCAGAGTACAGATTTGTTTAATTTTGTACATTATTTACAGATGAAATCACTAACGAATGAATATTTTAAAACTTTAGATATTTTCCTCATTTTGTGGAAGTTATAATTTTTTGAAATTTCCTCCTCCCATTTCTGCACTCATTCAAATGTAACTGCTAAAATAACAGCAGTGTTTCAATACATATTATTATATTTCATGGAGTTCTACGCTAATTTCAATAAAAATCTTTAAAATTTTTTCAATAAACTCTTATATAGACTATAGACTCAACAGAAAAGACAATAGGATAGGAATACCAAACGAGTAGGTTTATAAAAATGGCAGAAAATATAAAGGCAACTTTAAAAGTTTAGACAAATTCAACACCTAATAAGTTGGCACCTGAAAGTTTAAGGGAAGCATAGATTAGGCTACTTTAACAACAAAGACAAGAAGAGCATTTACTTAAAAATAACAATATTTAAATAAGCGTAGGTCATGTCTACACAGTGCGCGAAATAAGACCATTCTTTGATAGGTCCTTGTTATTTGCTGAGCAAAAAACTTTACCATGAATGCATTCAGGGCTGGATTATCCAATAAGCAAAGAAAATTACGAATCCTCGTCCTCGAGGGCCCGGTAGACCACCAAGAAAAAAACAAAGTTGAACGCAAAACCTTTACAGAAGAACACGTCAAATATAACAATTTCTTCCACTGATCGGGTGAAAACTTCTACAATAAACTAAATAAACATTTCCAAAATTATCAAAATCTATACTATCAGAATTCGCAAGTAAATAGAAGAATTGCATTGTCAAGACTTGATTGACTGGTTTAATCCGGCCCTGAATGCAGCTCAAAAACTATTCTATTTGGATGACGAAATTGAACTACATACATACATATTTATATACATTTAGAATTTCACGAACATCATCGTCTTACATTTGTGCGTTGCCTCTCCACCTGATCTTTGCTGTTGTAGCCTAAACAAGAAGAAGAAGGCGTGCGCGTGACGACAGACGTTGCAAGTCTTAAATATCACACAAAAAACTTTAGTAGGTATTGTTATTTTAACAAACTCTAAAAAAATCTTGTGTAACATACGAAACGGAAGAATACGAATTGTGGTTCTAAATTCTAAATCTGCAATGCAATGTTCCAATCTTTGCAGTAGGTACATACCTATCTATCGTCAAACACGCGCCTTCAGAAGTTAAAAATTCTTCTGCGAAGAGGTTTTAACTGAATACAAAGTTGTTGGTAAGATTGACCTTAATTCTAGAGGAATGTGGAGTGTGACGGTACATGGAGTTGCTGACGATAATATCTACACTACGTCGCTTCATAGAGTTTAAAAGGGCACTTACTAGGGAATATCTTATAGAGCTAAGATTTTTTTAACTTGCAACACCTTGCTCTTATTTGACATCACAATTAGAGTTTCTTTTTAAATATAACCGTCTTTTAAATTACGTTTAGATGTAGTTTGCAATCTTGTTGTAAACTTACAATTAGTTCAAGATGTTGCAAATATCGTTAAATTTAACTAGAATAATAAACTAAATCGACAATGTTTACCTAACTCCGCTGTCTAACTAATCAATATGTCGAGACAATCGATTTTAGTAAATGCCTCTTCGCAAATACACAATTATTTTTAACTGTCTTTTATGATAATTATTAAAAGAGGGTTCAGTTCTATCGACTTTATATTGTGGCACATCATTCTTGACTGGAAGTTATTAAAAGGATTGATGGGACATTACAATTTTTATTACTTTTAAAAGATAAATATTTAGTTCAGATTTATTAGTTTGGTGACAAGAAAAATCACAATAAAGTCAGCAGAACCGTGACCAAGTTGGATGAAATTATTCTAAAAAAACACTCCGCGACATTATTAAAAGTGCACGCAGCTTTAGATAAAGCAAAGATGTCCGCTGTGAAAATTATTGCCCAAACGATTTAACCTTGTTCAACTAATGCAGCGAAGGACAAACTATGTTCCCATACTAAGCTCATACGTCGGAGTTTAGGAGGTAAAAATAAATTCCACTAACAACCCGAGAAGGACATGGGTGGAAATATCGTATATAAATCGATCCACCTATAAAATGTATTAAAACTTCAAAAGAGTGCTTACTTTTACATTGTAAAGTTACTGAAAAGATGAAAATCAGACTCTCATCTTTAGTTTTTATCTTAGGCGTCGATCGAGCCTAGTGTTTACGCTACAATTTGATTAGTGTCTAGTCTAAAAGTGGTCATAGCTATTCAATATAGCTGAACTTATAAAAATCACTGTTTCTCACCTGTGCATGTCCCTGTCACAAAACGTTACTGGGGGCCATTAATTTTTATAAATTCAACTTTTGGGTAAACTACTGAAAATTGGATCCCCTACGTCGAGGACTAGTTATACAATCAGTACATCAAAGTCTTCAAAAACGGTATTGTCTTGGATCTGGTGCTAGAACATAGGAAACAAATTAACGTAACTTCTACGCAATTTAGGTAACTCGAATATCGCTAAACAAGTTATTAGCTCCCCACTTAATACTGAATCGTAACAATAAAAGCGATCTCATTTAATAAAATCACACCAAATTTCATAATTCACCACAAAAGCTCTAGCGTTCAAGAGATTCGAAAGCTTTGTTACTTTAACAAACATTTTAAACTAGAGGAAGAATCGACCGCGTTATCAAATATAGGTTTATTATTTTTTTTCCCAAGGAAAAAGCGCTTGTCTCATGCAAGTTTTATAAAAATCACAAAATGAAATAAATTTAATTTAAGTTACTTCTCAATTCACTATTTATCAAAACTTGCACAATACAATTTCCCATTATGCAAAGTAATTTATTCGAATAAGTACCTAAAAAGGATAAAATTATATATTGTAAATTACGTTTTCTATGTATTTTAGTTAAGGAGAGTTTCTCTCTCAATTAAATCTTTTCTAATTTAAGAATTTAAAAGGGCCATTTGCGAAGTATCGACGATGTACCCAAAACTTGTGTGGGCACAAGTACAAATAATTCGTCCAGTGTGTATGGCCCTGAAATTACGCTATACCTAAAAAACTACAATCTCACTGCAACTGTGACACCACAGTATTGAATTTAAAAAGTACATCACGTACTCTAACTTGTTCCACCTGTTAGAAAAATCGAGAAACAAACAAAGAAATTGAGCATAAATTATCGTGGCGCGTCAAATAAGTCAGTTGCAATGACTGAATTATTTGTGGCCATAGTGAGATTAAACTATATAACGGAAACAATATTTATACAATAAAATTTCACTAAACCAATACTGGTTTGCGTTTTCTTTTTTTCCTATGGTGCGTCTGTCGGGTGTGGTCGCGCGCTCCGCACGGGCCGGTCGCGGCGGTCGCGCGCTGGCTGGGGGCGGGTGCTATAACCGCTTGAACACCGGCGGCGGCATCGTCGCCGGCTGGTGGAACGGGTGGTACTGACGGGCAAGGATGTCGCCCTATAACCCAAATGTTACCCTATACATTCGTTATAAATTATGATAGCAAGTTCGCAGCTGAAAAGGGAATTAGTGAGCGTTAGTAGGGCATTGATTGTGTCAACTTGTTAGATACTTACAACTTGGGGTTGTTGGCTCTGAGCTTGTTTTATGTTCTTCTCGTTGATCATCAGCTGGTGTGCAGCTCTGTAAAGAAAATATTGTTTTAAAAAATTCGCCACGTACGATTTCGGAATTACTTTTATCAACGTCATGGTCATCATTATCTACCTGTCCATCTGCTCCTGTGTCATTTCTAACGCCTCCTGCATCTCACGAGAAGTGTTCCGCACGAACTCTGGGTCACAGTAGTCTCCTAGACCTTGTTCGGTTAGAACCTGGAAGAAAGATACCGAAACACCATTATTATATTTTATAATCGGGGAATTAGTCTTCACCTTAAAAAGGCACGAATTTTGAGCGACATAAAAGTTTAAAAATGAATACCAGTTTTTATCATTCATGACATCTCGCGTAAACGGCTAGACTGATTCAGTTAATTCTTTTTATGTTGTATTCAGGCCATGACAAGGTTTATATTTAAGTAATTTAAGAACGATTTAATGAAACATCAAAAAATAATAATGCTTTCGAAATCGTGGCGTGGCGAAACAAATGACTAAGGCCTGTTGTCGAACCCGTTTGAAGCGAATACATAATAATTTCCAACAAGGTTTGCAGAAAAATGAAGCAAGGCATGTACTTACTCTTGTAACCAGGCTCTCTGCGGACCCCACCACGACAGGTGCCGAAGAATTGTTTCCTCGTGGACTGCCGGGGAGCGACACCACCCCACGCCCAAAGCTATCTCCTCCTGCAACGCCATTTACCACGGTTCCATTATTTGCAAGACATGATGGGTCATGTGCGCCAGGTTAAGAATTATTTAAGTTTGCATCTCTTCTAATTTCAGTGAATTTAACATTACAAAACAAAACAAACCTCACTTTAATCATCTTTTAAATTCTAAATCTAAACTATTGTTTTTCTAATTCTCCAAAAGCTCATAAGCTAGCCTGTAATGATTCTTAAAGCGATGAATCTCAATTATTTGTCTATAGGTACATTAACTCTAAATCAATAGCGCCCTCGTGGATTTTTATGATTGTTCAAAATTTTCGTGCAAATCATACAAAACAAAAACTGTTCTTCAAAATCTTCTAAAAGCTTTTCTAAATCCTCAATCACTATAAAATGCACTATTTAGCCCTTCAATGTTAGTTACATGCTAATTACGATGATAGTATTTAAACCTGATTTGACCATTACATTATCCGTTAGAGTTAACATTTTACCTCAGTTATTTAATATTATTCAGTGCAAGATTTGTGTGTTGTTATTTGTGTGAAGTTGCAAAACATGAAATTTGCTGAAGCGAAGTGTGAGTGTGTGTAAAATTCTTATTTAATACCGTCAGGTTTCCGTTTGCCTGCAATGTACTCCTGTAAGCTTTGAAGTTTTTTGATGAGCGGTCATTATTCTACATTGTAGAAAGCTTCCTTCGTGAAACAAGTTGGGACTTTAACTACTTACAATTCATTAGTACTTACAACTAAATTAAACATTGCTATAGGACTAGAGTCTAAGAAAATGAATAATTTAGACTCACATATCTATTAGTAGTTACTGTATTGGAAATCAAAGTATTATAAATTACGTTAAAGGAGAGGGATAAAAAAGTCGGAAGGAAGCTCCCTGTGGCGTGCGGACCTGGCGAGTGCGGGCGATCTACAAGCCGAGCGGGCGGCGCATGCGAGGCCGCCCCCGACGAGGCGCTGCGCACCATCCGACCTGCTCCGCACAGCGCCGGCTTGATGGCGCGCAGGCTGCGCCGCTCCCCGCCCCGGCTCACGCGCTCCTTCGCGTGCGAGAACGCGAACGGCAGCTTCGCGGCTGCATTGTACCCATACAACGTCATCGTCCGCGATTCAGTCGTCGGGGTACATTCGCTTGCCAGCAGCGGCGATATCTTCGGCTGTATTTGCTCGAACGCATTCGGAGATGGCGTCTTGTCCTCCATCGACGCCATCCTCGGTATCGACAGTTTCTCCCGTGAAGACGTCGAGTCTTCGGGGTGAACTTTTTGCCTTGAAACCGTGGCGGTCGGTTTCGACGCGGTCAGGCCCTCGCTCGGCGTCGACAGATAGTTGACGCAGCCGAAGGCCAGCCCGATCTGCCCGAGCATCTCCGGGTAGTTGGACTTTTGATTGCTGTTAGTACGTACCGTATCCACACAGAAGCAGTGAAAGAAGATGGAAGCGTTAGACAGGTTATTGGAGCAAGAGTGCGGGTGATGCAAACGGTCATTTTAGAAAATCAACTACAAAACCACACAATTGACTACCTTGGTATATAGTGTTCTTTAGGTCATTTGTGGTTCTTCTGTAAGATAAGCGAAATGCTTTTTAAGATTCTGTCATGTATTAGAACAATTAAACTAATTATTGAAATGAATGATGTAAATAATATGAACTTGTAAGTCATTGTATGGGCATGTTGTACTCACTCTAGCACTTGATAAATTTTCTCCGACTCTCCGTTGAATATCAACGGTCTTAATGGTATTTGTTCTTTTGGTTGTCCATTTGCTCTAAAATCACATATAAAATACTATAGTGTCTAATCAATTTCTCAAATATTTTCAATTGCAATACAATTTGAAACAACTTACAAATTAGGTGTAAGAGGCAGTGGTCCAACTCCATACTCTCTTTGCATCATTGAACTTAAATGGTTACCGACACCAGCTGCGGCGCCTCCTCCTCCATCTAAAATATCACCAGGTTCCTTTAACCCTCAACCCTCACATCTAAGTGGCAGCTACGTAACACCGCATGCAATGATCCTTGCATACTTCTGTTTCCATATTCATTCATACATGGTATTTCTGAATATCATCAGATTGCACATAATGTGGTGTAGGTACATACACAAAATATAAAGCGCCGTGACTTGAATGAAGTGATAGGTATAACATGTCCAGAAACTTCCCTGCACAGCATTTGTTCTGCTATGGAAAGGTTTCAGACTGGAAAAGGATCCATTCAGACTTCACACATCAAAGATCCCATACACAACTTCAAAAGACTAACTACAACAGAGTACAAAACATTATCTAATTCCAATCCTTTATTGGAAGTAACTCCTTAATCACATTCTTGGGTTTCGAACCCATTAGCTGTTTCAAGTTCATGCAGAGTATTTTTTTCATCTCTTTCATCTTAATCTCCATCCACTTCATATTTACGTTAATTTCATATATCTTCTATGCTTTGTTCAACATAATTACCATAATCTGTAAGCAGTTGTTCGGCAGACGACGAATGAGAATAAATTGTTTGTTTATCTGCGTAGAGAAGACATGATACTGGTAACTCATGCATTTGTTATCCACACTCATACTTTTTAAAACTAGCCGGGCTACTAATTATGTTTAGACTTTATATTTGTTAAGGGAAAATGAATTAAATTGACCGTCCCGTCTTGTTTTAGATGAGGCCTTTGACAGTTGACAAAAACTGTTGAACGTTCATCTTCTGCTAGCGTCGGGTTCTATTGTTCTACAGGGCCTTCAATGTGTTAATGGTATCACCCCGTTTGTAGTGGTCAGGCCATAAGCCTGGATGTTTAGACACACAGCTTTGGTTAAATTGAGCTAAGTTCACCTAAGTGCTACGTTCGATATACTTGTATTTCCACGAAACATTCCACTGTAGGTCATTTTGAATGAGCTACAAGTGGCTGTAATGCATTTTGAAGTTTTACTATTGGATACAAATTGATGCCTATTAATGTTTCTATAGTTCAATCAATTGTTTAGTTGCAAAATATATTAAATACTGTCCATTTAATCTCTGCAACTATCAACATAGCGCCATCTATGAACTGCAAAAACGTGTCAGTATGAAAAGTTTGAGGTTACATAAAAGTAAAAAAAAAAATAAGATTTTTTTTTTATTTTTTCATCGAGAAGTGGTTTATATTTATCTTTTTTTAGTGTGTAGTGGTTTTAAAATGAAGTCTAAACATAAATACAGCCGGCAAACATTACTACATTAGCCAATTGTTGTGCAAAACGAAATTTTGATATGACTTTAAATTTTGATTGATACCTTATTACATAAGTATTTTGTAAAAGCAACCAATTTTAGGATTGAAACGTTTCCTTTTTGAAGTATTCGTTATTTTTATCTTTTGAATCTAGTCAATTAGTTAGGTAGTAGGTATGTGTAAATACATGCGAACTTTTTTATTCGAAGTTGGGTGCTTTTACTTTAGATGATATTTATTTAAAAAAATATATTAGTTGGATAGGAAAATTGTCCTACAACTTTTGAATTCCGATAAAGATAATAGGAATCTATGTACAATTTGTGTATCTCAATATTAAATTATTTAATACATGGAAAAATTCCAGTCTAGACTCTAAGCAGTTAAAACTTGCATCTTTTGAAAAACCCTTGTTCCGATTCGGGTTTCGAACCCGAGATCTTAAGCTCACCAATTTTACTTCCAAGGATCAACAAGGCAGTTTATTATTGTCATCTATATATTATAGAGGTAAAATTATTTAGTTTGTAAGTTTTTATGTAGGGGAACCGCTGATCGAATTGTCAAAATTCTTTCACTGTTAAATAGCTACAATGTTCCTGAGTGCTATAGGCTATACAACATCACGCTACAATCAAACGGAGCGGTCGAAACTGCGCGAGAACAACTAGTTTAAGATCAAAGTTGAATTTTTATTTGTATGCTGTACCTGTGGGAGGCTCGCCATGTTTCCGATGTCTATGGAAGTGTCTGTTGGGGCCATGTCTTCGAATACTCGACCAGACCCCTCCAAATAAGGAGTGATTTCTCTGTCAAGGTAAGAGAAATCGTTATGTATTTAAGTGTGGGAGAGCCATGCTTCGGCACGAATGAGTTAGCTTGACCGTAGTGATACCACGGCCTAACAGAAAACTGGTGGGAAAAAACCACAACGTTGTGTTTCGCCGTGTGAGTTAGTGTACTGGACTCCCCAATCCCAAAATCTTCAAATCCCTAGTTTCCGAAATTCATCAAAACAACGCACTCGTAACTCCACCCTTGTTGCAGTCGTCCATGGGCGGCGCTGATTGCTTACCATCAGGTAATCCGCCTGCTAGTATGCCGACTAATCAAACAAAAAAAAGTGACAGCGAGTCTAACTCATGTATACCACTAGCGTGTTGCTAGCTACCGAGCGTTTTACATAAATGAACCCCCCTTTTCCCCGCGTTTACATGGACAGGCGTACTTAACAGAAGAAAACAACTAATGTTCGTTGTCTGTGTACCGGATTATTTTTTTCTTACACTAATGCATCCCAAATGATTACAGCCTGCGCGTCTATCTTCCATTACCGAGTTGTCAAATTTTATACTCTTCAGAGTGCTTAATCTTAACTTTCTTTACGGTGATCAAACGTTACGGCGTTTAGATCTCTGATTGGCTAGTTACCTTGGAGCAGCCAATCAGAACGGGCTACGTCATAACGTGTCGATCGCCTTGGAGTAATAAAAACTCGCTCTAGAACCTGTGTTAACTAATTGCACTAGACTTGTTAGACACATTTAGTCACTCACCCTATGCATAGGCACATCGCATTCCGCAGAAATATCATCCAAGTTCCCTGAGATGGCTCTCTTCAGCTCAGGGCCTGCCTCGTGCAAAGTCCTCAAACCCGCTTGCAGCGTCATCTGGTGGTGGGTCTGTTCATCACTCTGCCGCATTTCCTGCTCCTTTCTCTTTTTGAACCTTATGACGTACATAATAAATTTTAGAATAATTTGCAGCTTTGAAACATGCTGAAGTACTTACTTACAGTATTAATTCCTTTGCAGTGTGCATCTATGCTAAGCGTTGAAGTGATAATTGAAAAGATCATTCTAATGTTTAAAAAAGTTCTATTGTAGATCAAAATTATCTAAAAACAAGTTGACAATGATTTCATTCTACTATGTTCATAAAAATCTTTTCAAAGTCTAAAAATAAGTATCCCAAAATGAGAAAACTTCATTTCGCTATAGCCTAAAACATTCTAAACGCGATGATGTAAAATCTGTTAAAGTGTAAACGCATTTATATTTTAAGTAATAATAATAGTTGTATGTTCACTAATACTAAAACTTATATATGTATAACATAAATATCACCAAACACAACATATAACAACGGGAAACGAAAATATTGGACAAAATAGACATGGTAGTTGGATTGTAGAAAACATCTGCATGCTTTTGGATAGCATCAATTCGTAAATGTGTACAAAACGGCCTGTATAAAGCTAAGTCATAGACAATGGAACTTGTGGGGCAGCGTCATAGGGACATGCAGGGGAGATCGTTAAAACGGTATTTTCCAACAAAATTCCAAGTTCTCGTCAGGATGTTACGCTTAGACACTATAGTTTATTAGATCTATGTCGCAAAGGGTCATGTCAGCGGTTTGTATGATAAAAAAACACTAAAAAAGGGAACATTCTTTCCTACACATACGTATCTGTTGTTACTTACGCGTGATTCCTATGAAACAAAAATTAATTTGTCAGTGTCAACCGAACGAAAAAATTAAACGAAACAAATAAAAGAAAATTACGAAATCATTCAAACGAAAAAGCCAATAAGAACGTCAAGATTTTTGAATTTGAAATAGGAACACGTAACGTTTCATGTCACCTAAAACTCTAAACGCCAATTTGACATCCAGATTCGGGATTTAAAGGATATGTGACGGATTTAATCAAATAATTTTGAAAGATAATAAATTTTGAAAAAATAAACACATCAATAATTTTTGAATCGGTTTTAGATGTATCTTTATGTTTTTCAAATAAAAATTATTGAAGCAACATTCACCAATCATATTGTTTCGATACACATAAAACCGATTCAGTATCATATTCCATGGAATCTGATTATAATTCATTTTACAAAACCAATTTTTTAAAAAATTCTTCTTAACTGTATTAAAATTATTATCACTATCATTGCCATCAGACACCATAAAATTCAAAAAATAAAATTATAGATATGAAAATTTAGAAAAAAGTATCTATTGCTTATTTAACTGACCTTCTGAAGTAATCTTGTATGAGGAAGGTTGCGTAAAACTTGCCAACAGTGATCTCGTTAGGGTCACCAGGTGGTGGAACAACTTGATCTAATAATTTAGGAGATGTTCTCTTCCAAATCTTTTTGATGACAGCCCTGAGCTCTGTGTTGCAATCGTCTATATTGCCTGTAAAATAGAAATAAAAAGTTCTAACTATAAAACTATCTAACATTTGTAGTAGTTTGCTTTAATGGGATGTTTTATTTAACGGCGTAGGTTGGCAATGGCAATTCTAAAAGTCAATGGAGTTCGTTGCCAACTTTTTGTGTATTATTAGGGAGTTATGGTTAAATGATTTCAGGAGGGTGGGGCAAAGGAAAGGGTTGAGCCGCCCGGGTAACCTAACTCACACGGCGAACATAAGTGTTGATCCAAGCCAGTATTCTGTGAGTCTTTAGTATCACTCTGATAGCGCCGCCCGGCTCATTTGCGCCGAACATGGCTCTCCCATACTAAAATGTCCAGTTAGAGAGAGAGCCAACGATCTTTGCGATCGTCAGATGTTTTAAAGCACATACTAAGAAGGATTCACAAGAAAAATAATCTTTATTGGCTCTGACTCCAAAAAATACAAATACTTTCCATAAAACTTTTTCGATGCCTTACCTTCAGTTTTGATCTTGAGCGATGTCCTAACGACGGCAAATAGCGTGGCGTTGAAGAGCACCGTGCCGTCAGAATTTAGGGGCATGTTCATAGATACTAGACGCTTGCATGCCACGCGGTGCGGACATAACTTTCCGAACCCTATGCGAATGATAAATGACTTTAATAAATGTTTAGGAAGGATCGCATCGGTTTTTCCAGCTTTTCAACGTCTGGACTGGATAAATAACTGAATGCCTTCATGTTATTACTAAGGTTAAAAAATCCCCAATAACTTTCATGGAATGAAAATTGAATTAAAAATAGTCACTGGGCATATGGTAAATAGCTTTTAAAATTACGTAAATGAAAACTACAATAAATAAAAAATGTAACTGAGAGATGAATGAACTCACCTAGAGGTGGACTAATTTTTCTTAATAAAGTAACTACATCTAAATGTTTAATTCTACCCTTGGCGTCAGGGTCATATTCACTCCATAACCTGGAAATAAAAAACAATTGTGACATCACTGACAAAAAAGAAAATAAACTCAAGATGAAATAAAGCGAAGATGAAGTAATAATGAGAAGACGGTTAGAACCAGTACGGACAAATATTTAGGACAAAATTCTTTAAAATTAGTTAATGAGAACAAAGTATGAGCTGCAGTGTGATTCTGTAAGACTTCATTCTAAACTTCGAATCTGAATCCGCTGTGAGCAGTAGTACACTAGCGCTACACTTGCGAGTTGAACTGAATTGACAGCAACATTTTGATAGATAAAGTATGAAATGACGTTAAAAGTGGCATTCTAAAATTTAATTTCCCCGTCACTTCGACGCTCACTTCGCACTCGAACACGATTCAAAATCAAACAAATTTTATAGAATCGACGTGCTGATTGCAGTGAAACGGGGAAGGAAAACATCGCAAGCAAACCTGAACTTATAATTTGTCATTATTGGTTTGAACTAGCCAATCAAAATTGAGCAAGCGTGGTGAAATGCTTAAAGCTTTTCGATACAGAAAAAGCAGAAGAGCTCAGCGGTAGCCCTTATTAAAACCTTATTATGATAATGATGGCTGATTATATTAAGATAAAATGGATTTACCTTATAAATTCATCTAAGTGGTGTGGTCCCAATATTGACCAGTCTCTGGTTAAATAGTCAAAATTATCCATAATGACAGCCACAAACAAATTGATGATCTGAAAAGCAAACATAATTACAGTCATAGATGGCTTATCCATCGGCCGTCTAAGATTCGGAGGATTAAAATTGGAGCAAAACTGTCAACAATAGTTAGAAATAATTTTAACAACAAAATTAAAACAAAGATGGTGGATGGATGATAAGTTGATTATGATGGAACATTAAAATTGTCTTCTTCAAAGGACAACTTACCAAAAATGAACAAAGAACATAAAAACTAATAAAGTATGGGAAGGCGAGCACACTGCCACACGTTCCTCCGCTGTCCTCTATCTCCACATCTCCCTCCTCGTGGTAGTTCTTATCACACTTCACTTCTGGCTCCGGGGAGACTCCCATCATAATGTCTTGCCAAGCTTCACCTGGGAAATATCGTAACGGTAAAAACCCTCGGACAATGGTAATACAATTAAAAGTAGCATTGGGGTAAAAATATTGGTACTAAATATTTTATTTATACTGTCTTAGGGACAGTAGGCGTGTTAAAACCATATTGTTTGGTAGAAACAAGTTTGAGACTTCAACTCTAAGAAGGATACAGGTTGATTTGAAAGTTGCACAGCAATGTATGGAAAGTGCTTATCTCTCAAATTCGATACGATGAAACGAATGATAGGTGATCCGACAGAGAACTAAAGATGTCGACATTGCGAAGTATTTAGCAAACTCAAATGGCAGTGGGCAGGTCACATTTTTAGAAGAATCGATGACCGTTGGGCTAGAGACTGTATGAGAGCATGTGTTCTGGAGTGGAGACCGTGTCTAGCCAAACGTCGTGTAGAGCGCGCTCCAGCTAGACTGACTGCGGTATCTTGTGGTATGGTGGTGGCCGGAAGTGGTTGGATGAGAGCATATCAGCACACATTGAGCTCAGTGGCGTGCAATTCGAGAGGTTTATGTTAAGCGACGAAGAAAGGAGTTGTGTTACGAAGATTAATTTAAGGATAAAGCCAATTAAAGTTAAAATCGTGTACATATAACTAATATAATGATGGTTGAAAAGAAACTTGGGAGATGTGAACTAAATAACGATTTAGGCCATCAGGTCATTGAAATAAGAGTTACTTACCAGTTGCAGATCGAAACAAAACAAGAAGTGCTTGCGGGAATGTCTGGAAGTGATTGTTCCTAGTGATCGGTGAGTCATCATCTATTGCTATTTTTCCAAATACCTGTAAAAAGGAGACCAATTTTTTTACCTAATTTAGCACACGCCATTTGTTATTATATTACTTAAAACCGTAAGAGCACAGTCCAATGGTAGAGCTATATAAATAGTCTTTACATACCAGCTGAAAAATATCAAACATTGAAAATGATCGACTTCAATAAATTACCCTTCTGAGTTATCGTTTAAAAATAATTGCTCTTAAGTTGAAAAAAATACTCTTCTTTCTCACCTGCATCCCAACGACAGCATAAATGAAGAACAGCATGAGAATCAGCAGGGCGACGTAAGGCAGAGCTTGGAAGGACTTGATGAAGGTCCAGAGAAGAGTCCTGATACCCTCACCCCTTGACAGAAGCTTCACCAATCTCATGACACGGAAAAGGCGGAAGAAGTTTATTGAGGGTATTGAACTTTCCTGTAATTATATAGTTTTGATTCTTAATGTCAATTCTCAATTTTAATTTAGACTAAAAGTTATTTTTTTTGTTTTTATTCATCGCTATTGTTTTTTATAACTTTATCTAGAAGTTTCTTGAATCCAATGACACTTCATATTTTTTTTTGCACTGGATCATGTTGCCTATCAGCTATATGTATAACATTCGTGCTCTAAAATCCTCAAATGAAAATTTGCTAAATTGGTAAAATTACGAAACTATGTAACGATGGATCAGTCGAAGTATGCCATAACCTTTACCTACCTATAAAAAGTTAAAAAAGAAGCGATAGACATAATTTTAATACAAGAGGCAAAGATAGGCTGGCTGTGCCACGATTCCGTCTGTCCAAAGTACAGAAATCCTTTATGGGGTTCTGTGTAAATTGTTACAATAAAATTCCAAGAAGTGTATTAAATCTTAATTGAAATTCTCAAAATTAATGAAACCTTGAATGAGTTGTTGCATTGTTCTCACATTGGCGTACAGTAATGTTTAAAATGTATTATTGGTGAATTGTAAAACAAATATTTTTTTTAAAAGAGTAACGATGGAGTTTCTTGCTCGTTCTTCTCCATTCGAAACTACAATTTGGAACGAGCACCTAGCTTCACTGACGAACAGACTGACAGACTACTATTCTATTTAGACGTTTCAAAAGTACCTATTTATGGTTTAGTTGGAATAAATGATTTTGATTTGATTTGATTTAAGTAATTTTATGTCTAGAAAAACTATAAGAAATAATGAAAATGTTATTTAAAAATACCCTGCCTAAATATTTTATTTTCTCTTATCTTGTTATTATGTAGCATAATATAATAAGCCGTACTAATTACCTAGCTTCACTTGAATGTCCATGTTCATCACTCAGTACTTTATACTTACCTTAAAAGAATCAACACTTTTCATATTAAGATATGTAATGCGTGTAAATGTGTTTGCAATAGTATTCTGGTGAAACTTTTTGAAATGATTTGTGTACTTCGAACTTATAATGCTTAGAATGTAATGAAAGAACTATACATACATAGTTCTTTCATTACATTCTAATATTCGACTTGCGAACGCAGTTTTCTACTTTCTCGCTGAAATTTAAGCAATTTAATTACAGCTTCTACTTTTTGCCTTTTGTTTCTTTAGTGCGTTGTGTTGTGCATCGTTTGCGCCGTGTCTTTCCTCCCTTCATTAGGAGCAATATTTAATAATACATGTTATATAGCGTTACTGTCCCAAAGTATTTCATTTTACAAATTTAAAGCACCATTATCATTGTTATTTGCTTTGTATCATACAATATTTAAAGCTGTTATTCTGATCTCGTTATCTACGGCTAAATCAGTGCGGTTTTCATTCATTTTATCTTTGTTAACTGTTAAATTTATTTACTGTTTTAGTAATTCTATTCTATTTTATTGTAAACGACTTTTGATCTTGCTATATCAACCTTAGCTTTCTTTGTATTGAGTATATTTTACATTGTCTTGTTTAGTTTCTTGATCAAAAGGCATTTACAAATTTAAATGTTAAAACAATTAGCTTTAAGCGTTTCTTACCTTAACGACGTGTGTCCTAGTTAAGCCACTTCCCTGAAATCAACACGAGCGTCTTCAATGGGTCCGTCAGGTACATCGTAAGTGTGAGCATTAGCATCTGCTGTTATTACAACATCGATATAATTGTCCATGCTCGGGACAGTAACTATGATTTCTATGTTTTGGGACGACCAACTTACTATGACAAGCAAGAAAAAGTCATAGCTTTTTGACATTAGTTTTTTTACCATATTTTAAATATTCGCCTAATGAGAGATTTTGACTGTCTCTTTAATTATTATTATTCTTTTAATTTCTAAATTAATATTTTGGTCATTCCAAAACAAGAGATCATAAGTGAAAGTGTTGTTCTAAGAAGTGTATCTCTAAGAGTGCTCCGTGCCGTTACCTGGTTCTTGAGTTCGTTTACTTGGGAGACAACGATGTCAATGATGCTACCAAGGACGATGATGAAGTCGAAGGTGTTCCAGGCGTCACCGAAGTAGTTCTGGATAAAATAATTTTTATTAGTATAACACAGATAACTAAGGGGAAGAAGAAGAAACAGCTGAAAGTCTTTATCACCAGTCTAGGGCTAAATGGCTTAATATAAAAAAAATGTAAAATCATCAAGTTGTAGCAGGAAGACCTGCGAGTTGGATATTAAAAGAAATAGAGTTTTATACACTGGCGAGGTTAAAGTTACTTAAGTTTATAATCTTACAAGGAGTAATAATCTATACCAATATTATAAAGAGGTAAAATTTGTGAGTTTGTATGTAAGGGATATTGGAACCGCTGATCGGAGGCGAATTGCGAGGGAAACCACGCGAGTTGCTAGTCTTAGTCTCAATTCTTCTAGTAAAGAATTTAGCTGATACGATTGATGTAGAAACAAAAACTCACCTTAAATCTAAAAGCAGCAAGTTTGAAAATGAACTCCAAGGCAAAAACGGCCGTGAACAGCATATTCAACAGATCGAGGGCCTTGCTGTATTCATGGGGCTGGTTGTGGTACTTCATGGCAAGGGTGATGGTGTTTATCATGATGAGCACGAAGATGGCGTATTCGAACGGCTGTGACGTCACAAACCACCATACTTTGTACTGTATTCTGTGCTTTGGGATGTATCTGTGAAAAACGAATGAAAATTGTTTTGTCCAACGTGTTTCATCTCTTGCTAGGGTGTTAAGTTTTTTCAATTTTTAATATTTAGAGCAATTGATTTTGTTCTAAAATAAGGCCAAGATTTTTTTTCACTCACGGGGTAAATTTATGTGTTACACTAGAGATACCTGTATTTTCTCACGTGGAACTTTTCTGACATAACTATAGAATTGTTTTTTTTTCTTACCTTCTTATTGGTTTAGCTTTTAGCGCGAACTCTATACAGTTTCTCTGGTTTTTGTCTAATTCACAATTTTTGTATTCCTGTTCACCCTCGTTTTGGAACGTCACTATGACAAAACCGACGAATATATTAACCTGAAAAAATATGTCAAAATCAAAAATACGATTTGGGGGGATGGATTCTTTTTGAATCTAGACCATAGGGGTTCGTATATATGGGAGTTGTTGTTTGCCTTCTCCCATCTTGCAACTGTATAATTGTATGTGTCTCTATCTATATACTCCTCTTATCTAAAATTTCTAAAATAATAACTACATTATACATTCATGTAGCATAATTTTAAATCTTTAAATGGTCCACATCAAATTTTATTTTTTATTTTACTTAGTTAATACTTTACTATGATTAATACTGTTGTTCTACCTATGTTAATTTAATTAGTTCTAGTTTTAATTTCTATATTTTGACTGTATAAACGCATCATTTTTAGAAAGTTGATTAGCTCGTAACTGGCTAATGTATATGACCTACTGCCTATAACCAATACTTTAAACCACTTGTATACATAAGCTGTGAGCGTACTTTATTATAAATAAATAAACGTGTCTTTGTGAATGTCCTGTGTTTTTAGGGGGGGAAATCTTCTTTATAATGTGGCTTACTTCACCTAGGTTGCGTCAGGAGAGAAAGTGTGTCTCTTACTGACTAAAAAGCAAGCCCCTTGGCCTTGACCTCCATATTAGGACTTCAATTTTACGTGCTATATATTCTTCTAAACGGTTAAATAGAGAACCACTAGGCCTAAATATGAATAAAGGACGAGGGACTTACCATAAAGAATGCAATAATAATAATGTAAATAATATAATAGGCTGCAACGATTGGACGGAAGTTGGTTATGGGACCTCGATCTTCGGCATTCGAATCTATAGAGACGTACAACAACCTGAAACAAAGTTTTATGCAAATTGTTATAATTGGTATTACATAATATGGATCGTTGAGTCACAATTGTGCGAGCGAGAGGTCTCGGGTGGGACGAAACATATTATTTGACGGACGGACGGATATTTAGTTGTTCTACTTGGGATAGTAATTTCCAGTGCAGTATACAGGATGTCATTTTGAACGAGGGACATTTTCAAGCACCTAATTCTGGTCCTTAAATAAAACAACTTTTTCCAAATGGATATCTCAAAAAATTACTTCATGGGAAATTATCAATCCGCTGTTGCGATTTGTAGATTTGTGACAAAACATTTATTTTTGTGATTTCGATATTGGTTCCATGGAAAAAGTTGTCCTAATTGAGCATCAAAATCGGCTCTTTGAATATCTCCCTCGTTCAAAATACCACCTAATATAATCCAACTAGCTACTGTCCTGCGATTTCACCTGCTGTTCGGCTCCTACAAATCGTAGCGTGATGTTTTATACCCTATAGCCTTTATCGATAAATGGGCTAACAAACACAAAAACAATTGTTAAATTTGGACCAGTAATTCCGGAGATAAGGGCGTTCAAACAAACAAACTCTACAGCTTCAAAGTATAGATTTATAAATATGTTCTTACCCTGGCCATCCTTCAAAAGTAGACACAGTGAACAGTGTAAGCATTCCCTTCATGACGTTATCAAAATGAAAATCATATCGCGTCCATTCTCTATCCCGCACCAAATAGTTGCGATTCTCAAACACTAAATAAGTTCCTCTGAAAAATAAAATAGAATACTATGAAAAATCTTAAACAAACAAATGCAAGCAAGCAGACGGACGGACGGACCAGAACTGTTTTTAACTAAACAAACACAACATTAACTTTTTTTCTTAGTTTTTTTTAAAACGTTGCTTCACACTAAGATTTTCTCCTGTGTCGTGGTTGTGATAACAGTTAACAATTTCTGGACCACGCAAAGAGACCACGCGACACGATGCGCCACAGCCGGTTGCCCGGCCACCGCAGCAACCATGCATTCAAATTTAGAAATCACTATTGGATTCGGTCTGCTCTTTTAGCTGGGAAAATTGATAGGTATTGATATTTATATAAATAAATGGATAAAAAAAGATACTCACTGACATTCCTCCTTTGTCATTTTTGAAATATCGTTACATCTAAAAAACTTGCCCTGAAACAAATAACTCAGCGATTAAATCAGTAAAAGAAAACAACAAAAAAAAAACACTACATTAGTTGCATGCCACGACAACGAAACAATGTCGGTACTAAATGATCATTTGTTTACTAAATCAATGAACCCATTTCTCATGATAAAAACTTATTAAAAGCATATAGGTAATTACATGTACATTTTGCTAAATATTAATATCATGTTAATGTTATGTACTTATATGGAAACGACATTAACTAACAAATACTCTCTTTTTACTACAAGCTGGATAACTAATTCTATGAAGACATGCGACATACATAGGTTACAGTATTATAACATCTAAACATCGTGCTATTTAGATCTTCAAACTTAATCGCCTTGTACAAAAGAAAAACGTATTGTTGACATGTCTGTACGCTCATAACTCGCGAACGACTGTGCTTGATTAGATGTATCTTTTTTATTGTTAGGTTAGTTATTTATTATATATTATTTATTATATATTTACATTGCGAGGTAAAAAGCTTTTCTTTTTTGATATGGTTTTTGAAAAGGCAAAATAAGCGAGAAGATCAAATCGAACTACCACCAAAACGTTTCAAAGCTCACCTTAAACAATTGTACACCGACCACAGCGAACATAAATTGTAATAAATAGGTAACTAGCATAATATTTCCTATTGTCTTAATAGCTACTATCACACACTTGACCACATACTGTTAACGGAATCAATGAGTTAGTTGTCGGGGTCATACGTTACCAGGGGAGGGATCCAGGTCCACCACGCAGCCACGGGTACATAGGGGGACAAGCAAACCAATGTTTAATCACATAGGACTTCGTACAAGGACCGCGAGGAGTACGTACGCTAAGGTTAAAAACTCCGAAACTCCGCACCAAAACGCCAAGGTAGGGGGAATGGTTATGATCTCTAATATAGGTAGAATTAGTCAACTAATGGTGGCACAAACTGACATACTACACCTTTGGGTTTGATTAATGGCCTCATGCTTCTATTTGACGACATTGAAATTATAAATTCTATAAAATTGCTACTCCTAAAACATGCCGATTTCATAATTTCGTCCGTACCGATTAGAATGTTTTTATTCTTTATAGGAACGAAAATAAAGCATGTCACAACATATATAACTTAAATAATAAAGGGTAAACAAAGCTTTCCAAATAAATATGTTTTTTATGAAAGCTCAGCTCAATTAGCTAACATCAAAATAATTAGCACAAAAGTTAGTTAAAGCTTAAAATAATACATAATATGATGTGTAATAAGCTTTTTGTTTTGTTTTTACATACGCTCATGTATACATAAGCTGTTTTTCTTACAAGAAAGTGTTGGTATAATAAAATGTCTTTAGAAAAAAAAATCAAACACGTGTTCTTAAAAAAAAAAATTTAGAAAAAAGTGTGATTTTTATTATACATATTAAAAAGACAACGACAATAATAGAAAATAATCATGAGAAATGAGCAAATAAAAAGTAAAATAATAATTTAAAAATGGAAAAAGAATATTAGATTGTGGTGTAAAAACATTGGTACCCAAAGGTGTATCGAAGATATTGTATTTGTGACAAAGTTATGAATGCGTGTACACTCGTGACACAAGACTTGGAGTTGTAGGATTATGATCCTTAAGGTATACTGTATTTGCCCCCTACCTTGAACATTTGCACTCCCATAACGGCAAACATAAATTGCAGTAACGATGTTACCAACAATATGTTGCCAATTGTTTTGATGGCTACGATCACACATTGTACAACGTGCTACAATCACGGAAAAATCATATTTACTATCATTAAATATCATGTGACTATCACAATAGTTGTTTAAGATAAGATTATCAATTCATTGCTATCTTTTTTTTCTTCTTTCTATTTATGTAGACGATGACTTAATAAAACACGATTATGTGTCCAATGAGGTTGGTTGGTAGTATCTTTGATCGATTAAAAAAAGTAAACAGTAAATAAGGTCGATCCAACTAGTCAGATTGGGTAGTTTTCTCTAGCTGATTTTTCAAAAATAACTAGATGTTTCTTATAGTTTTTAATCAAAACATTATTACGTCTCATATGTTCTTAAATTCATAGAAAATTATTTTTAGTGCCATTTTGAAAACTGCACACTTATTCGAAGCGTCAAATCTATAATTTTATATTAATTTTCTATCAAACAATTAGCTGTTGTGATTTGCGTCAGATAGGATAGAAATTTCTTACAAATTTGCTAGAAAAATACAAAACTTACACCCGGTTTCCGAAAGGCCGATCAATGTTAAAATCAATTTAATCTCTTGTCAAGTCATCTGATTGGTTGACTGAATTATCAACAACCAATCAGATGACTTGACAAGAGATGTGACACGTAGTTAGTTGATTTTAACATTGATCGGGCTTTCGGAAACCGGGCATTAGTCAAATATATGTAGATCAAAATATCAAATCAATGAACGAAAGCGTGATAAAATTATTATTGTGTTTTGAAAAAATTTAATAACTTTGTTTTGTTTGAATGACTACCCAAGGCGCCACATTGGTTTCTTAACCTTTTAACACCCCATGTTACACATAATAACGCATTCGTGAATCATTAGGTCGTCGCCTCAGAAGAACTTAATTTTACTAGACTTATGATATTAACAATAGAAATAATTCTAGCTTCTTATAATTGTCTGAAATATTTTACAAATAAATAATTTATTGTAACTTCAAATAAAAAGTGTGTTAATGAAAATGTTATAACTGACCTTAAGGCCCTTGGCCCTGTTAATGGCCCTTAAGGGTCTCAGCACCCTAAACACTCGCAATATTTTCACCACCGATATACTACCCGACCTGGAAATTAGGAAAAACTCACTGTAAAATATCTGTACAAACTTAACACAGTGAAAATTTGTCATAAAATAATTTAAAATTGTCCAAAAAACCTTTAAGAATAGTGTGTTTATCAATAGACGTATGCAACGATGATTTTAATTATTCGATTCTTCATTGTTTAGAATAACATTTTCAACGGCACTGCCAACCATTTCTATGATATTTGCTTAATATCATAGAAATGGTTGGCAGTGCCGTTCGCTTCCCTATATGTCAAAAAGACATCGTTTCTATTCATAGGGTGCAACATGCCACTCAGCAGGGCAACAAACCAAAAAACATTGTTGTTAAATTTGCCTCACGCATTTTGCGCGACAACCTAATTAGTGCATACCGCTTAACAAAAACTCTCAAAGCTGAGCAAATAGGCTTACCAGGCTCATCTGCAACCATCTATATCAACGAGCACCTCACCCTCAAAAACAAACAGTTGTTTCGAAAAACAAGGGAAGTCGCTGCATCACATAACTATAAATACGTTTGGATCAAAAATTCCACTATACTGGTGCGAAAGATGGATGGCACATCTACCTTTGCGATCCGCACCGAGGATGACGTCCGCAAAATTAAAGGCAAAGATGATAATATTGTGTCATATTCTGCAAGTGAAAATAATTAATAACACTGTACAGACATTAGAAAACAATCCTAGTTCTAGTTTTATTTTAACTCATATTATTGTATCGCATGGTGTTTCTTTTATTATTTATTGTTTCTGCTCTTTGAACTCTGTAATCGCTGGACTATTTTACAAAAGGTATTTATACTGCTTTATTTATTATACTAGCTCTGATACTGCTGCCAAACTATTGATGCCATTGTTTGTTCCCAATAGTCAAAGAGTCATATATATGTTTAACCATAAGTGGCCCTATTTTCCTATATGTAGATTGTTTCTAGATAATATTATTTGCGTGTGTTGTTTGGTAACTGGAACTTGGTTTCTGGCTGACATTGTTATCATAATTTTATCAATTTGGGTTCTTAAGTGCGGTTCATTTTACGGATTTATACAGAAATTCAAGACATTTATATATTCATTAGTTCATTGTGATGGATAAAAAATTCTCTGTGTATTACCAGAATTGTCGAGGACTTCGTACAAAATTGAATATTCTTCACATGAACATTCTCATGAATAACTACGATATCATAATATTAACTGAAACGTGGTTAATACCCGAGATAAGCAATAAAGAATTCATAGATCACCGTTATGTAGTCTATAGATGTGATCGCGACCGCGTCAGTACGGGCAGGTTGGATGGCGGCGGTGTCCTAATTGCAATAGTGAAAACTATTAAATCTATTGAATATGACATATCACCTATAGCCAATAATATCATATGTAATAAATATATTGAACATTTAATCGTCGCATTACCTTGTTCACAAAACGTTAATTCTCACATCATAAGTGTAGCTTACATACCACCCAGAACACCATCATTCATTTATGAGGGATATTTTGACTTACTACAAGAGATATTATCTAAATCCAGGGTTGAGGGTTTTTACATGGTCGGTGATTATAATTTGCCAGAAGCTAGGTGGTCTACTGAAAGCAGTCCTGATAAAACTGAAAGTTTTTCTATGTGTTATGGTCCGACAGTCACATGTCAACATTTAAATAATCTAATTGCATATCTGAATGCCTCTCAATACAATAAAATATTTAACTTCAAAGGTAACATATTAGATCTTTTTATATCGAATAGACTTTGCAAAATAACTAGTGCTCAATCTTTGTTACCTATGGACAGTTTCCATCCTCCATTTGTCGCCGACATATCTTTAAATGTTAAAATACTTTCACTAAAACGACGCCCTCTCATTAAATACAAATTTCACAAAGCTGACTATGATAAAATAAATAGTGATATACAAAACACTAATTGGCTTGAATTACTCTCACATAGAAACTCCGATGAAGCTCTGTCTACATTTTACACTCATATTGAAAATATAATCAAACAACACACACCTTTAGCAGGCACCCGGTCTCACGGTTATCCAAACTGGTTCTCTAAATCTTTAATTTGTTTATCCAAAAAGAAACAAAAGGCCTGGGTCAAGTGGAAAAAATATCAAAATATCTCGGATTACGAAACATTTTCGCAGTACAGATCCAATTTTAAGGATAAGTGTAAACAGTGTTTTGCTAGGTATATTAATTCTGTGGAAGATAATTTATGTAAGAACGTTAAACACTTTTGGACTTATATATCTAACCGCAAAGATAAACCTGGTATACCTGCTAAAATCAACTATAATGGTGTCGAATCTGATAACCCAGAATCAATTTGTAACATGTTTTCTGATTTCTTTCTCTCTGTATTCGAACCAGCCTGGCCCCTTTTGGATCGCTGGGAACCTCCTGGCGAGACCGCGTCAAACGACCTAAATATTTTTGACCTACATTTTAGTGAACAAAACATTTTGAAGGCCCTTAACTCCTTAGATCCCTCAAAGGGTCCGGGGCCAGATGGCATTCCCTCATTATTTCTGAAAAAAACTGCTACAGCTATTTGCAAGCCTCTTTTTATTATTTATAATAAGTGCATGGCTGAAGGAAACTTTCCAAGTGTATGGAAACTCGCTAACATTACTCCGGTACACAAAGGAGGGTCAAAACAAAAAGCGGAGAATTATCGACCAATATCTATTTTGTCAGCATTTTCTAAGTTATTTGAGAGACTGGTGCATAATCAAATATACCCATTGCTCCATAACATTATAATATCTCAACAACACGGTTTTGTCAAGTTACGCTCAACAACTACTAATCTGCTGACTTTTACTAGCTTTTTGTTTGATAGCATCGACAACGGTGTACAAGTTGATGCAGTCTACACAGATTTCTGTAAAGCATTTGATAAAGTTGATCACAAATTGCTATTAGATAAAATTGCTTTTAACGGTATTCGCGGAAACTTATTACGATGGTTTTACTCCTACATCACTAACCGTAGCCAGAAAGTCGTTGTTAATGGTTATCATTCAAACTTCACGCAGGTAACTTCCGGTGTCCCGCAGGGCTCGATTCTTGGACCCCTCCTATTTAATATTTTTATAAATGATATTGGCGAATGCTTTCAGAACACTAAGTACCTTTTATACGCAGACGATCTCAAAATATATAAAGCCATTGCTAATATTAATGACTGCCTCCTATTTCAACAAGACTTGGACAGGTTTACGGTCTATTGCTGTGATAATAAATTGCAACTGAGTTTACCTAAATGTAATTATTTAAATTTTACCAAAAATAAGCACGTCGTCAGCTACGCTTATAATCTTTGTCACGCGTCACTTCAAAAAGTAATTTCTATTAGGGACCTGGGAATAACACTTGATCATAAGCTTCATCTTGACTTGCATATTGAAAAAATTGTTAATAAAGCGTATCAGCTCTATGGATTCATAATGAGATCGACCCAAGACTTTAAAAGGGTCTCATCATATCTCTGTTTGTATAAGGCCTTGGTTCGCTCTCAGTTGGAGTATGCTGTATCTGTATGGGATCCCTTTTATAACAAATACGTGGATATGATTGAGAATGTTCAACGTAAATTCTTGCGTGGAATGCACTATAGATGTTACGGTTACTATTTACCTTATAACCGGCTAATTAGCAAGTATAAGTTACTAACACTAAGTTCCAGGAGGAAGTATCTAGAATCCATGAATCTCTTTAAAATTGTCACAAGTAAATTCAATTGTATAGATCTGAGCAATATGCTATGTTACCTAGTGCCAAGAACCGTACATAGGCGACGGGTGTGTGCCGGTAAACTTTTTGCAGTGGGTCGATCCCGAACAAACACAGGTCTCCGCTCCCCCGTCCGCCGTATGGTTGTTAATTATAATAATAACTTTGAACATATTGACATCTTTAATTGTTCCATGGGCCAGTTCAAGAGTCTTACTTATAAATCAATAATTAATAATAATAATTTTAAATAAGTAGTTTATCACCAGTGTTATTTATAAGAGAGGTCTAGTAATGGTTTTGTATCTTTAGCTTAAGTTGTATTATTTGCCATGTTTATAATCTTCTGTTAATTTGTGGATAACGTTGTGGGCTGCATTGTTACATCAAGTTTTGTTTATAATGCCTGTGTACACTATTTATAATGTAGTTGTTTGTTGTCTCTACCCAATAAAAAAAAAAAAAAAAAAAAAAAATTTCCAACAGTTTATTACAAAATATCATAAATGTTGTAATTAATCAATGCTTTAATTCAGTAGGATTTTCTCCCACGCACACACTAGTGTGCGTTTATAAACATACAAATTCGCATCCACAAACCATCCAGACCCGAAACAACAATTAGCAGATACCGCAAGTGTTATTCGTAGCGGGAATCGGGCCGGCGATACGATGCACAGCGGCAGTTGCCCAGCCACTACTCCAACCGTGCAGTCAAGTCAGTAATTTTTTTTATATGCTTGATTTGATTATCTCCGCTGGTTAACTTTACTTCTTATAAAATTGACGTACTTAAAGCTCATAGAGACTAGCGAAACGCAGACGACGAGCATATCAAGCACGTTGAAGGCAGACCGCAGGAAGGCACCCTCGTGGAGAAGCAGCCCGTACGTGATCAGCTTCAGGAACAACTCCAGCGTGAAGATACCAGTGAAGAACACATCGAATTGACTCAGCAACTGGAAAACAAAATTATGGATTGATGGACATGTCACATGAAAGTCGAAACACATCTTCTTCAATATTTCGTTTTAGAAAAAAAAAATTTGGATATAGACATGCATGTATTACTAGTAGGTTAACTATAGGTAAACTTTGGAATACCCATATTTTGTAATTAAGGCTAATAAGTTATACTTTACTTTTCTTCAATCTTTTTTTATTTTTGATTTAAAAAAAAAAGATGAAATGAATGAAGAGAACAGTAAAGTATTAATATGTAACGTAAATGTCTAATACGTAATATTTGATAAGGTTAAGCTACTGCAGTGTTGTTGTAAGTTTCCAAGATAAAAAAATAGCCAAATAATACAACTACATATGTTGAATCCAGAGATCAAGAGGTCTCCTGTCATAACTTTGATCTTACAAAAGATACAGACAGAAAATGACTACGCAACATACCCAATTTCGAAACCCTTTTTGTGCAGCATCCAAAGGATCTTCAGCTGCCAACATGGCGGAAGACAGCATGATGCAGACCAGAATGATGTTCCCAAAGGTCGATGATGATGACATCTTGTAGCAGAAAACTCGGAACCTAGCGTTGGAGACGACGTGTAAGTTGTTGATGACAAAAACGATAAACCACAAGAAAACACACCAGAAAATGATCAAAACGATAGAAAGAATAATAATTTAAACCATTTCAATAAATTTTTTACCTGATTGTTGCTTGTTGTTATTTAACAGAAATCAGATTTTCAAAATCAAATTGGTTTGACTCAAAAAAATTGTGATACTATTAATTTCAATTCTGATGTGTATTTCAAATACATACAATAATAAATAACACATATACACATATAGTCTAGACACGTTGTTACAAAAATCAGTGATATAAGCACATGCATTAAAATCACGCAAATAAATATAATACGGTACACACCATGCATGCATGCAACAGTATAATGTAACAAGTATTTGAATTGTCAATTTTCGCTTGAAGCATTCATGTTTAGGATAATCATGCATGGACAAGTCCACATGCTAACACCCAAACATGAATCCTACAAGCCAAAATTTGACTTCAAACCGATGAAATTTCTAAGGGATTTCAGGTCATGCTTTGAATCCTATCATCTAAACAAACATACCTAACTGCTAATGGGAAACACAGATTTCGGTACCCACTATACTCATTGCTGGAAGGAATAGTTTCATCTAATTTTGATTATTCCACACAATGGAGGTTATAATGTTCGTGCACCACGAGGAATATGAATGAACAATATGACGTTGGAAACGGTACTGTGCTATAAAGTAAAACGAATGGGACAAACAATTTTGAAGAACATAAAATGAAAAGAAGTTTTCATCCACCAGAATTTTTAGTAATCGTTTTAGGTGAACATGAAATTAAATCGAAAACAGATAAACTGAAGGATGTTTCTAAAGCCAAAGCTATGAATCTAAATAAGGAAACCAGTAGATGGAAGGAAGAATCCTTTGGAGTAGGTTACGGGTACACTACAGGAGATACAGTTTCCAACAGACAGGGACAGTCACATTCGATGATATGTAATGCCAATCACTGCAAGGACAACACAACGCCAATCGACACAATGAGACATGGGTACCACCAGGTGATGAGGCCATCACCATTCACCTGTTCGTCGGTGAGAATATGAAGAAACTACTAGCGTTGGGTATAGGCGGCGTCTGATTTGGCATATTCAGTTCTGACACTCGCCGTGGTCTGGCTGTTACCAGTGTTCCCTCTTCTTCAGATTGGCCGCCATCTTTGTGAAGGAAAATGACAGAATTTTCTACACTATCGTCTAGCACTAAAGTTAATTTAATCCTATGATTACCAATAGTCTCGCTATCGCTATTGACCATGCCGAAATCCCTGTACCTAGAATGCCTCAACTAAATTATCATGTAAATATTTTAATGCTTAATTAAACGCAAACACAAGTGTGGAAATTAGCTAAATGTGTAGAAATGGTAAATAAATAAATAAATTTTTAATAATAATTAATTAAGTTGAAAGAAGAGAAAGACGTAAGGCGTAAAGTAGAAAACTGATTTGTCTTTGATGGTGTCTTTTCATAATTGATTAAGTAATAATATTTTCTATTTAAACTCGTGCTTAAGACGCATAAAATATAAAATACTTATAATAGAGTAATGAGCAAAACAATAAAAAGACTCCAAAAATAATGAAATCATGGTCTAATATCCTACTCCTCATGAGACGAAAACACGTAAGTCTCAGTGTTTTAGTCCTAAAGATGGCGATGGAATAACATAGAACAGAAGAAGTTGAATCAGAACAAAGCATTCAGCGTCATGAGCACTTTCACAATTCGAACGATCAAAGACAAATATAAAAACAAAATACGTTAAAAAAATAACATCTAATAAGTTTCAGTTAATCGTTCGTTCCCCCCCTAACCTGTTGGTTTTAGTAAATATGAAGAAGGAGGTGGCATCGGGTATGGGTTTCTTAGTGTCGCATATATCGACCTCGGAGAGGCGACGCGGCCGCGCCGACGAGGTTGTGGGCTTACGTTTCAGACGAGGCTCTTCTTCCAACTCTGTGTTCACTGTTTTGGTTGGTTAGCTTATTGTATTATTGATTGCACCAGTTCTGGCGTCTTGCATAGCATTGTTTACAGCAATTTATTACTTTTTTTTTTCGTTACATTTATCACAAAAACGTCCTGTATCATGAATTTCATTGTTTTCCCCATATTAGTATCATTTGTGCTTGTCTCTATATTAGTTAACTCTTAGTTCAACAAGAAGAAAGTATATATTTATTTAAAAATCCCTTAACACTAAGACATGAATACAGATCATAATATTTAGCCACATTCCCTTACTTTTTCTCAAGTTTGCTAACATATTAGTATCTGAACTCCTAAAACTAATATACCTATATGATTTCTTTGATGCCCTTCCATCATCTCTTGGTCTTCCCGCTCCTGTTCCTCTTCGGTTCTTTCATTTCCTTCGTTCTCTTCATCAATAATTTCCTCGATTTCACCTTCCATGTCGTCTTGCTGCTCACCTTCTGACCCTGTCTCTTCGTATTCTCTTTCAGAGCTGGAAAACATTAATCAGAGTTTTTTTAGTTACTGTATTTTTACTTCTCTGCACTACCTATAAAATATAGTTTACTCACTTATCCGAAGTATACACGTCGTCGTCATGGATGTACTCGTCATCAGTATCTATATGAACCCCTTCAGCCGCTACCACACTCCCTCCTTCCTTTTCTTCAGGTGCCTGCTAATTATTATCATTGGAATTTAAGTTGAATATCAATAGTGTTAGAATTGAAATTGCGTTGATACTTACTGCCTCATCCTTTTCTATGTTGGTCAATGACTCTGCGTCAGCTAAGTTATCTACAGCGATGGCCAAGAACACATTTAGGAGGATGTCTGAACAAAAGTAGTTAAGGAAATATTGCTATTTTAAAATGATCCTATATAATCCCGGTTGATTTGAATTTTTAACTAACATTGTAAATTCTGCTGAGTATTTTAGTGATTTTGAAAAGGATACAGTTACCACAAATGAATAATATGATGAAATAAATACAGGCGAGGATCCCAAGCGTGCCTACACCACCATAGGCTTTGATACCTTCGTACATTACTGCGTTCCAATCTTCACCCGTTAGGATCTGAAAGCAGTGTTTGTTTGGATGTTACAACCAGGAATTAAAAAATTTCATCAAAATTATCTCTGTGTAGATAAAAGTGGCCTCAGCCAAGTAATAAAAGCTCCTCTACCTGAAACACGGTCAGCAGTGCCTGCCAGAAGCAATCAAAGTTGTGTCGATCCTTTTCTTCCACTGGGTCGTAGTTGAACTTTCCTCCGAAGACCTGCATCCCTAGCAGCGCGAATATCATGATGAACAGGAATAGCAGTAACAGGAGGGATGCGATGGACTGAATGGAATTCAAGAGTGATGCTACTAAGTTGGAGAGTGAGCGCCAGTATCTGAAAAATACAAAAAATCCGAATTATATGTATTCAAGAGACACAAAATTGTAATGATTACACTTTTTGACACGTACAATACTAAAAGAGACACCTCGGAATCATTGGAAGTTTGATTTATGATAAAAATTGGTATGAAGCCTAATAACATTTTGTTAGTAGCTTAATTTGGGAGTGACAAATCACTTCCAATGCTTGCTTGCTTATTCTTTTATTTCAATCTAACTGTGTTTTAACTCTTCAACCTAAAACTAAATGTGTTTTAACCATGGAGTTCCTTGCTCGTTCTTCTCCATAGGAATCTACACGTTGGAACGAGCAAATAGCTTCACTAGAGGACAGACGGACAGACTGACACGCTTAAAGTTAAAGCTCTTGAAATACTTTTTTCCTGTTTTTTGCTTGACGTTCAAAAGTGCCTAATGTGGTCTAATTGAAATAAATTATTTTCACTTTGTTTCACTCTATTTTTGCATTTAGATGACTTGTTTAAAAAGTATACCTATAAAAATCACTTACTTGGTAACCTTGAAAACTCTAAGCAGTCTGACACAACGTAACACGGAGATGCCTAGTGGAGGCATGACTTCAGTCTTAGTGAGCACCATCTCACTGATGGACCCGATGACAACGAAACAGTCGAAGCGGTTGAACAGAGAGACGAAATAACCCTGAAACATGTTAGGAGGCAACTTGACCGGGAGGCAGATAGTGATGATGAAGCATGTTGGAAGAAAGACAGCAACGAAAGCGAGGTGGCAAGCACGGGTTAATTGCAGTGGATATTAACATCGAGAGTTAGTAATTTATTTTCTACTTACCTGTGTTGTTGTCATTATAATTGCTTATGTTTTATTGTTTGAAGTGATTGAGGTATTACTTTTTACAGTTTTAAAAAATTATGAATCAGTTCCATTTTTGTCACTAGTCTGTAGTAGCTTGACTCCTTTCTATACTCCGTGACGTTATACGATTTTCAAAAAGTATTTACTCAGAAATCGAATCTGGGTTTTGCTCTTAGTTCTCAATCTTTTCTAAATTCACTAAAGAAGGTAATAAGAAATTTAAACCATGGCATAAAGATTACTTACTTGTAAACCTAAGCTGTACATCTTGACCAACATTTCCAACGTGAACAAAGCTACGAAGAACGCGTTGCCGTACTCCTGGAAGAGATCCAACCATTCTGGCTGCCTGAAATTGAGGAAAGATTCAAATGAAAATATAAATTTACTAACAAATTATTGACACAAGAACAAAAACATTTTTGTTTATATTAGAAAAAACGACTTATGCTCGTAAATTAACTGAGAAATGCTCTACTAGTTTCAAGTCACAACGGGAGTCTCATTCATCAACAGCGTGCGCGTCGTGGCGGACGTCACGTAGCCGACTGACAGTCGAATATGCGCGTAGCTAAGAAAACTTAATTAATTTACGTGAGTAAGTTGTTATTTTTATAAATTCAGTATGTCTCACGATAGTTACTAAGTAAAAAAAAAATGTTTGACCAAAAAGAAAGGATGAAACCTATTTTTAATAGGTTTTATCGAGGCCATATTAAATAAAAAAATCCTAAAAATGTAGGTGGTTAAGAAGTGTTTTTATTCTGTTTCGATACTCACTGATAATGTTCGCTGGCCAGTACTACAGTATTAAGGAACACCAGCACTATAATCAGCCAGTAGAAAGTCTGGGACTTAACAGCTTTTCGGCAGGCGCGCTTCATTCGACGGTTGACCTGCAGTTATGAATAACAAGGCTTAAAAAAATGAATATTTTATAACTGCTTAAGGTATCAGGCGGCTAGTCATCTTGAGTTAGTGTTAGATACTGGTAAAACGACTTGTCAAGTTTTCTAAAGAACAAAACAGGCATCCGAAAACTGTCGCTGTATCTGATTCCAGAGTAAGAAATTATGTAGAAGTTAGGAATCGCGTTTCTGTGCGATTAACGAAGCATTCAAACTTTCGTAAAAAAATCATTTTATGTAGCTATGCAATTATTGTCTTAAGTCTTACTTTATCAAAATCTTTCTTCCATGCTTTGCAAAAAGAAACTTTCTGTTGTTCGTTCGTCTCTATCCCCAGATGATCTGTCGAGTCGTGCTCGTTCTGCGTCTGACCTGAAATGTATTCTGAAACAAATGTATTCAATGTAAATTCTTCGTCTTATTTAGTTCTCTGTATATTCTGAAATTCGCTTCTTCACAGTCCAATGTTTAATGTCTCATGTATGTCTGTACGTACCTACCTATTTATACAAATATGGTAAGCGGAACCATTAAATGAACTCGCTTAAATACTTGTTACATCAATTTGTATTGTTGCAGCTATTAAACCATCATCTACTAAATTGACTGGTACATATTTTTCAAATAATACATTCTGTTCTAGTCCATTCTATCACCCAATATAAGTTCAGACTATATCTACATTTGATTTCTCATCACTAGCCTATAAGTGTCCACTGCTGAGCAAAGACCTCTTCTCAAACGGAAAAGGCTTGAGCAATTATCACCAAGCTTGTTCAAGTTAGATTTATGATTTTTAACATATAAGCCCGGGTTTGCTCTCGAGGTTTTCTTTATCAGATTGTCGGTGGTGTAAATACACTAACAAAGGACATAATTATAACTTAGGTGGAGTCTGATATCTCACCTATCCCATAATCCCTAGTCTGATCAACAGGTGGATGGTGCTCATGTTGATCAGCTAAAGGTTCCAGATATTCTGCCTGCGTGATCCAGTCGAGGTAGCCTTTCAGATCTTCCTCTAGTTGTTGTTTTTCTCGAAGCTTCTGGAAGTCTCCTCTGTTTTTTGCCTTCTCTCTTTCTTTGGAAAACTCTCTGTAATGGAAATATAAAATAATAATTTAGTACAAATGCCAATCCTTGTTTTTTTCTGCGTGGAAAAATAGTAGGCATAGCAAATGTAATTTTAAGGTATCTCAAAATGAAATTCCTATAAACATTAAAATAATTGTCAACTCACCCAGACAACACACCGAGAATGAGGTTCATGACGAAAAAAGCGCCCAAGATGACCATTGACACGAAGTAGATCCACTCCCAACTGTTGCCCATCGCATCTTGTATCTGAGAATTTAAATATTGAAAATATAATTCATAAAGAAAATGATGAATTTAATGTTGAGGAAGGTAAAAACAAGATGTATGAACATTTTGTGACTAAAAATCCTGTAATAGACAGAAATATAGGTACAAGGGTAGGAGAACAGAAACTTTGTCCTTGTATATTTTAGTAACCTTACAGTTGAAATTTTATCAATTTTTTCAGTCATTGGGCCAATTGAAAGGATAATATTAAAGAAACCCTAATGAAGCGCAAGTAATTTACTTATTATAAAGTTTTATAATCTGCAGCAACACGAACGGCTGAACTAAAAAAAATTAAAGAGGTTTCTAAATCTATTAATAAGTACCTACCATCTAACAGAAATACTTTTTTTTTCATTATTCAGTGAAGACTCATAACCTCGATTACGCTAGATATTAAATGATGATAAAGTTTACGATGTAATAAAAAATCGCTTAAAGTTTTTTGCCAGAAATAAGTATGGGAGAGATTCCTTAATGACTCTTGTGTTTTAATGAATAAAGTTGAAAATAGCTTACATTATACATAACATCAGTCCAGCCTTCAAGAGTGATGCATTGGAAGACAGTTAGCATAGAAAGGCCAAAATTATCAAAGTTGGTGATGCCAAAGTTAGGGCCTATCCATCCTTCGCGACATTCCATCTCTTCTCCGATCTGGGAGCAGTTGAAGCCATTGTCAACGTCGCACGGATGAGGAGTGTCCATAATCTCATCTGTAGAAAGTGCAATAATTGTTAGTAAGTTTTCGAAAGAATTTGCCAGATAAAAAATCTCTATCTGTTGTTATGGAGAATTCCTCAAAATATTAGTTTTACAAACAAGAAACAAAGAACATGAAGATAATAGTGTAAACACAGTAAAAGTTGTAGAAGCTCTAAAGTTTTATTTTATTTTATAAAACGTTGGTAAAGTACACGTCACACCTAGACCCGGAACAACAATCTGTACATATAACAAAGAGGTATCCCATGCGGGAATTGAACCCACGTCACGTTGCCGTACAGCTAGTTGTCCAGTAAGTACTTCAACAGTGCTGTTACATCTATGTTTGACATAGATGCGTAAATATTTTTATGACGGTTTCAAATCTAGCTACATGAAAGTATGAAGACCAAACCTGTATATTTGTTGTAGCAGCTTTTATGCATTTTGCCGGAGAACAGCTCCAATCCGATGATGGCGTAAATGATGATGACGAAGATGACCAGTAGCGCAATGTGGAGAAGCGGTACCATCGCCTTCAAGATGGAGTTTAAAACGATCTGGAGACCTGGAGTCAGAAGGCAGGGGATTAGAATCTAACCTAATCAAGAGTCAAAGGACTCTCATTAGAATTGAGTAAATTTATTTGCCACTAGACTACGGCCTCACAGAAAACCGGTATGAACCAACCACGGCGTTGTTTCGCCATGTGGGTGAAATTACCAGAGGCCCGGTCCCTCCCCCTCCCCCTATCCTTAAAATATCCGGAACCCTTATCGCGAAAGCTGGCAACGCCCTCGTAACACCTTTGGTGTTGTGGGTGTACGTGGGTGGCGCCGATTGCTTACCAACAGGTAATCCGTGCGCTCGTTTGCCGACCCATCCGGTAAAAAAATTAATTAGCAGTTTCTAAACTGTGACTCAAAAATCGAATCTACCCATCAGAAATAGGCTGAAACAAGTTTAATAACATTTTATTGTTATAAGACTAATGTCATTTTCATTTGAATCTCCTAGTAAAACACATATTTTCATCTCAATTCTTTCTAAAACCTTTTAGTAAAAACGAATTGAAATTACTCATCCATCCCTAATGTTTTATCGATTTTCATAACCCGTATCTTTTCGGTTACTTCCTAAACCTTTCAAAGAGGTTATTGGGTGTATTTTATTAGAATATGGATATGGGTGATCTTATAAAAGGATTAATTAGTATCGACTCACTTGGCACGCCGGAGACGAGTCGAAGCGGTCGGAGCACTCTGAACGCCCTCAGAGCTTTAACATCGAACGCGTCCTTGAATATACTTGATAATACTGTGCTGACCATTCTGGAAATATTGGAAAATATTATAAATATATCAGATTTAGATAATAAACTGTAAACTTTATACGGTATGGTTGAAATTGCAATGAGAGCTGAAGGAATCCTTGCTGCTTTGTTAGTTATAGCTCCTCCAGTTCCTATTAAGTTCAAGGATGAGTTAAACCATATTGTGTTACAATCTTTTATATTGCTTTTGCCTTCGTTTTCTCGGTGCATCGTTTAATGTTTTATGACTTTCTCCTATATTGAATGCTCTTTTGTCTAGAAAAGCTGACAGATTTTATTGTAAAATCGGTTTGTGAATTGTATGGTATTATTTCGATGTTGTTTCGTATAATAACAATGTCGTTTCAGAATGAAACACAGTAGAACCAAAAAGTAATTGGTATTAACTACCACGTAACTAGATTGAAAGATTGAGTAGGAAAGAGGCCATAAAATCTATTAGGTACCAGTCAACTTGTAAAGCAATATCCCAGAATAATAGCCGCTGAAGCAATCATAGCATTTGGCAATAAGGGGAGCATAGTCGTTATAACCAATAATGAACAGCTTGATGCAGTAGTAAATGCTAAAACGTTTGTTACAAATGTTACTGGGATACATAGTGGTACATCTGATAAGCTGTTTGAAAATAGGTATAAATTAGTTGATACGAAACGAGATTCTGTTTGTGCTAGTAAACAATTATTGGGTTCTTGTTCTCGATTGAATACAAGGTTTTATCTTTAGGTTACTGAGTTTTAAATTAGTTATGATAGGAAATTACTGTGGGATTTAAGACAGCTGGGTTTTAAGATATGTGTACGCACGTAAAACATTTGGTCTATTATAATCAGGCTTTTTACAAAATTTGAATACTTATTAGTACAAAAGTTTTCAAATACATATAGTATATCCGTCATGATATTCAATGGCATGAATTACCTATTTATGAATGTTGCAAGCAATGTTTTGAATTTAAACTCACCCGATGACAACAATCGTGAAATCCAACAAGTTCCAGCCGTTTCGGAGATAGGAGCCAGGATGCATGATAAACCCATACGCAATGATCTTCATGACGCACTCGCCCGTAAATATAACTAAAAACACGTACTCGATCTTTTCCTGATAATCATAAAATAAATTAAGTTAGCTAATTCCAAAAGTGGAAAGACACATCATAACCAAAACTGGAGCATATTAAATTAACAGACCATACACATATTTATTCCCCATGAGAATTGAAATGCGCAGAAACCCATTGACCGATCAAAGCTGAGGTATAATTTTATTACATCACTGACACTGACTGTTTTAAATTCTGCTAAAAACGGTTGTTTAGTAAATACATATATATTTTTGAAAATATTATAACCTTGAATTTTTACAATTCAATGTATAGTACCTACACTAAACAGAAGTAAAGATAAAGATACTTACAAGAACCCAATTTGTGTAATTTGAATCGCTGGCCGGGTATGGTGTGTAGACAGCTAAAGCTATGCAGTTGGCGAAGATGGTGGTGAGAATCATGTACTCAAATGGTCTGAGAGGTTGAGTTAGGAGTTTTATTGTTCAAACAATAAATAGAATAGAAAAATAATTGGTGTCCCACGGGGAACCATTGTGGGCCCAATTAAAAATAGAACTAAATTATTCATACCTGTGATATTTGGAGTAATTAAAATTTAAAGTGACGTAAGTCCAGTTTTTGTCCAACTATAATAACAAATTGTGATAAAATTCATTCTGATAGTAATAGCCATAGCCATGGCAATAGCATTCAGTTTGTAATTGCGTCCACTGCTTGATTATAGGTTTCATTAAAACGTACACAAAACTTTTAACGACTCAAAATTCCATCGAAACCGAATGCAATCACTTGAATGAGATATTAATACTATTGTTTCTTAGGAAACTAGTTCAATATTCAGACTAGTTGTAGTACAGATGATTCGTGCCAAGAATCATCTAAATAGCAATTTCGATGGATTGATTTATTTACATCGATTTAGTGATATGCTGAACATTGAACAATTTGCCGGCGAATGTGCTACTATTATTCTATCTGTATGATACAGATTGTAGATGAAATTTTCAGTTTATTACACATAATACAGTGTTTATGAAAATTACATATTATTATGTCCAGCTAAAAGGACTGAATATTTTATAGAGTTTATAGAAGAGGAAGGCTGGAACGTTACTGTAGTTTCCACTTCTTTAGCTATGTTATAAGTTAGATTAGAGAAAGTAATTTAAATATTTCAAAGTGCTATTGTCTAGATTTGGTACAAATGTGAATTTTACATCGGAGGGATATCACGGCCTCACTGAAAAGCAGGGTGATACAACAGTGACTGAGGTTACCGGAGACCTGATCTTCAAACCCCTTACAACCACTAAAAGACCAGCGACGTTCTTATAATTCCTTTGTTGCGGCGGCTGTTGCTAGGCAACGCCAAATGATTATCATTAGACGATCCATCTTCTTGTTTGCCGATGATTTCAAATTTCATGTAATTATTAAGAAAATGTAATTAGAAAACGCGATAATACATTTATCGACTTAGAAACCGTTTTATATAGGCTTTACACTTTTAACTACTGGACCAGGGCATTCTACCTGTAAGTAACATCCAAAAATAGGTGCAGGTAATGAGAATATTGCAAAATGTATTCAAGTGTAAGATGTTAATAAAGCCGGGTGTCGACGGTCCAGCGTCGCACCGTGGACGGATTTATTAAAAAATATGTTGTCTCCATCGAAGAGACGCGATCAGACTTCTAAGAATTCGATAATAGTACCAATATTTTTATTTTATTTGGAAATTGTATTTGAACGATAGTGAAGTTTATATGATACTACAATTCTTCGTGTATACTTTGTTGATGTGTAGCGTAATAGACAACTTTATGTTTAGATGTATAAAGAACAAATTTTCCAACAAGTTTTTACGGTACCATTGCTTGTGGAGAAAATGTTTGGTTTAATAGATTTTTCTCTCGCAATCACTCGAAAAATGTAGCTATATCTATATTGCTACTATATCCAGATAATAATATCAGAAGAGAAAAAGTGAATCCAAATAGGCATTTTTTTAGTTAGGACTGAAACTACATATATTTTGCTAGACGATATTGCAAAAATCAAAGTAGTTAAGTGCAAAAATCTGTTCAAAAACTGTTCTCTTAGGTGAGACGAGGTCAGTTATTGCTCGTAAATCTAACTGCAGCACCATTTTAATGGATTCCTTATCGCCAAAGCACTGTGTTGTTTCAATGCTCGTAAAAATACCCAAACAACCTTGAACCCTTTCAATGACTCAATCTCTACTCTATTTCTTAGAACATCTATAAAAATACGATGACTCGCTTGGTATTTGAACCCTGAAGACCCTTGACAATGGCACATTGCGAAGTTGTCCCAATTTCCCACTAAAAATTCAAGTCATGTTTCTATTTTTTTTGTCGCTCATTCATACATTCTTGGCATTAGTTGGGTGTGCGCCAATTTTTTTACCTAAGTATTACCAGCAATTGAATATGAGTATTGCGTAGTGCTATTTAGTTGCAGTTATCAAGGTATTTTGGACTATTCTTGGGAGGTAGATGACTGGTCGAATGATGTTGGGTTTTATGAACACCAGCACGAGGTTTTACGAACTTTAATAACCATATTGCACAGATTCATTTATCGTCAGCCTATAAGTGTCTACTGCTAAGATTTTTGTCTTGTGTATGATTCCTATGTTCAAGGGGGACTCTTTTGAATTTAAAGAAAGGAAATGCTGACAATACGTCTCGATAGAACGCGAACAATCTATAATTTATTTAAATTTATGAATAGGTTTGGCAACATTGAAATTGCACATTTACCTAGTGATTTTTTATTGTAACGATTGAAAATCTCTGATATGGTAGATTTTCACAATTCTGTTTTTAGTTAGTAAATCAGTATAGTTGTGTACTAGCTTCTAAAAAAATGTCACCATTTCTTTCTTTGGATTCTATTAATGACTTTCTATCACGGGAAACTACGAAGCCACTGCCCAGGAATAGATTTTACGAGAGCACCAACGTGTTGCTTCCGTCAGATGTAATGGCCCACATACACTTTATTTTTGTTTTGAAGTTTTCTGGGGTTAATAGTAATTTTTATGATCTTTGGGTATGTCTTTGATTTTACTTTTACTTTTAAAAAATATTTTTGTTAAAACCAATTTATTTTGACAACGTTGTGTGGAACAGTAAAGTTGTTTAGTGGTCTTTGTTTAGAATGCTGCGGTTTGATTACGGATGGTTTTACTTTTATCACCAATGACTTCTCCTGCCTTGGGAGTGTTAGACTCTTACCGATTATAAACCTTCCCGTTCCTTCTTCTTCTCCGGCTAAGGCCGCGGTATATTATTGCTCTTTCAACCACAACCTCGACTGAACATCAGGGTCATCAGGACTTGCTCTTTTAGACGTGAGTTACGCTACGCATAGTACGCTTTGCCCTGGTTCTCGCTTCCTACCGCTGTCGAGCATGGATGATCGTACCTTAAATAGAACACGTTAGGAACGTGTAGGAGTATAATTGGTGTAATGTTGAATAATGGTCCGTTTGAATTGATTAGTCCGTATTGTCGTCTTTCAGCGAAATGATTTTTTTATGGGATAGGTCGGTAAACGACCAAACTTACCTGATGGTTTGCAATCGACGCCGTCCATGGATACCCGCAACACCAAAGGAGTTACGAGTGCGTTGCCGGCCTTTTGGGGATAAGGGTCTCACTCCGGTCGGACCGTCATGGCTCTCCCACACTTGAAATACTTAACCATATTCGCATTTTTTTATTTTGTTATTAAATAATTGTGGAAAAAAAGTCTCATTTGCTCTTCCACAGAGGTATACATTTTCTTTTCTTCTACTAAAATCTTCTGATTTATTTCGTTGCGGGATCCAGGACAAGTTGTTCATGTTGCTGGGGCGTGCAGTTTTTCACAGTTTTGGTGTCTACATGGTTGTGCAGTAGGTACAACCAAGTAGATCTTGGCTGACAAAAATTGCAGCGTTTTTGTGAGCGGAGTAAACTTTGTGAAGATTGTGGAAATTGCATTATTGTTATTGAAGACATTGCTTGCTTCAATTGTGTTTGAAACCTTTTCAAATGCGAGTATTTAGTTTTAGTTTATTGCTTTAAAATATCACGATGACATCTCTAGAGGCGCACGTTTCTCATTATTAAGGGACCCGTTTTGACTTGAAACTGGTAGAGCTTTTCTCGATTAATTCACGTAAGTCATAATTTCCATTTTTTATAGGGACCTAATAATTTTATTAATTAACGCTTGAGTATAGGTAGTATAAGTAAGTAAAATATTATTGTGCTGTTATATTAGAATACATAATTTTAAACTATAACGGTTCTGTCTGTCGATGTGTTTGTGAGTTACTGCGGACGATTTCCGTTCGAAATTGCGTTTTAGTTAGAAAAATATGTTCTTGTGATATTTCACTGTTTATATTATAGCTGTGTTAATCTTTTGATTTACATCCTGATGAGAAAATAAGTCAGTTGGTTTTTTAGCGCGTGTGCTTTTGCAATATTGGTAGTATTTCTCGAAAATGATTTTTTGACCGATCACTGGAAGAGCTTTTTTCCGTCTTTTGTACGATTATGGACATTTAGGGATTGAGGGGGGATGGGAAGGATGGGGCCTCTAGTAACCTCACTCACACAGCGAAGCACGAAGTTGTGGTTGTTTCGCGGCGGTTTTCTGTAAAGGTGTGGTATAGTCGACACACGTCGTCAATATGGTCAAGTCGACCCATTCGTGCCGAAGCATGGCCCTCCCATTAGTACCCAAACACAATGTGAAACAAGAAAATTTCACACAATGTGAAATTTTCTTCACTGTTGGACAGACTGATGAAAAATGTATGTAGATAAACTTACCGAAATAAATTATTACACTCAAACTTTTGACTTCTTGATCAAAATACTTATCTGACTGCCCACTTGACTTCCACTGACCCATTGGAAGATTAAAAGGGGGGACGAGGACGGTATGTTAATTGTATAAAACCATAAATATACGTAATGGAGACTAATATTTATATTTCGGCTTATAAATTTGAATATTTTCCCGCGACATAGAGTTGGCACAGTGCCAGAGTCGTTCATCCATAGACATCGATTTTAAAATATCGATCATGCGAATAATTTATATCCCCAATATTATGATCAAGCGTAGTTTTCGAGGAATATTTTTATATTTATGTAATATTTGTGATTTTGTAATGTAAATATATACAATCGTAGTTTTGCCAGCGGCTTCGCCTTTAGACATATTTCTATCTAATGTTGCAAATTTCATTCAGATCCGTTCGGTAGTTTCTGCGTGAAAAAACAACAAACGTACATGTTACTGGTTTCGCTTTTCGTTGTTTTATTACACAATGTATTTATTCAGTCGGCAAACGCGCAGGATTACCTATCTGAAGGTAAGCAATCGGCGCTGCCCATAGATAGACACTTGCAATATCAAAGGAGTTACTACAAGTGCCGGCTTTTTCTTAGTTATTTATGATGAATTTGGGGATGAGGATGAGAAGGATGGGCCTCCACTAACCTCATTTACACGGTGAATCATAACGTGTGTGTTGTTTCACGCCGGTATTCTGTGAGGCCGTGGTTTCACTCCGGTCGAGCTGACCCATTTGCGCCGAAGCATGGCCCTCCAATATTTGCATCACCTATTTCTTTACAAAATTTTGTATATTCAATGTTGTTTCGTTATGAATCTTATTTGAATATACTGTAATATTAATATATTGTATTTTAGGAATTTAGTTTATGAATCTTAATTTATAGGCTAGTCTCAATATTTTTTTAGGTTAAGGTTAGAATAAAATTATGTCTGTCTAGAGATTTTTGTGGTGATATTTAAATATTAATTCTATTCACGAAACTTATTTTTGTCTTCTGATTTGTTTATCATGGATTTTTTCTGTGATACGGCGGCAAACCGGTCTGATTCAAAGTCAAAGTCAAAATCATTTATTCCAACTAAACCATAAATAGGTACTTTTGAAACGTCAAAATAGAGTAGTAGTCTGTCAGTCTGCTCGTCAGTGAAGCTAGGTGCTCATTCCAAATTGTAGATTACCTGATGGTAAGCAATCAGCGCCGCCTATGGACTCCAGCAAAACTATAGTAGTTGCAAGTGTTGTCCTTTTGTGTATAGGTGGATTTAGGGCTAAGCTTCTCTTTCCTACGCGTTTTTATAACATCGTAAACTTCATATAAGACTGTGTTTTTATAATAACTATCGTGAGACATACTAAATTAACTAAAATTCGCGGGTTACTCACGTGTAAATGTTGAGAAAAGCTCTACTAGTTTCGAACCACAGAGGGGTTCTTCCTCATGAGCAGCGTGCGCGGACGCGGCGACGTCGCACAGCCTACTGTAGGCTGTGCGACGTCGCCGTGAACATTTACATGTGAGTACCTAACCCGCAAATTTTAGTTAATTCATATAAGACTCATAATATTTTGTACGTCCATTTCTACGGCTTTTGAAAAATGAAAATATCATTAAGGTATTCTTTTTCGTCGTTAAATTTTCTCTGTTGTTAATTGCATTGACATAATTTAAATATCGGAATATAATATCACTAACAAATATTTATAGAAAAACGTATTCTTAATCATTTTGCAAAGGATACTTCCACTCCACGATGTCGATGAAGGCCTTTCTCATGGGGTTCTTCAAGGTCAAACAGAACAGTGCCCTCTTCGGCCTCTCCTGTTGGACCTTGGGACCTCTTCGCGGGGGCTTCCGGGGGGCGACTGGGACCTGTGGGTAGAAATAAGAAATTAAGAATTATTGCCTATGGCGTAGGTGCATTTACAAACATAGAAATTCACATACGCAACATGAATTTGTGGCTCACACAACGTGTTGTAACGTGCGGGAATCGTACCCGCTGTTCGTTGCAAAGCAACCAGTTGCCTAGCCACTGCGCCAACCGTGCACTCAACACTAGTTTACTAAGAGCTTATTTTTCAATAGTCAGATAAATGTTATCTGAGGAATAAAATTGTTGCTGACACTGTCTTATACAAACATTGTGATGTGACAGCATCATAATTAATCCCCAGGTAACTTTTATCTAGCCATTGAAAAATCAGTCGTAAGAGGAAAACTTCAAGTAAGTAACTTGGTTTTTCAATTTCGTCCTTCGATATACTGAGGTAGAATTTAGGTCAATGCATATTGACAGCGATCTGCCAGCTCCGAATGGGGTGTCGGCGTGAGCGAGGTAAATCCAATTTGTAGTACGTGGACGAAATGCAGGTGTCTGCCTAATGTGACGGTGACCTGTCACGAACTGGGCGATATTATTTAAATATTATTAATAACTAGCATCTACCCTTCTTCTTCTTTTTTACTAAATGAAAAGACGAAATACGATCCTCTAGAATGTATTGCTAGAGGTTGAGGTTGGTAAGATATTCTAGATTTATGAAAACTTCATTCAATTTCAAACATGTTATGTTACCGTGTATATTACGCACTTCTTAATTTTAAGTCTGGAACATATTGTTTTGGTGATCTAATAATGCCTTAACTACTATGAAATCCTTGCTTTTCTTATCTTTGCTAATTCAAGTTTGATACTTTTTTCTTCCACATATTAATATGTAGAGGTTGTAGACTACAGAGCTGATATGTAATCTCAAGTATTGTATATGTGTCTTATCTTCACCAAGATTCAAACGATACTCGTTTAATACGAGTGGGTAGGAAGATCGCTAGCTATGTTTTCTTTTTGCATAGCTGCAGACTGCAGATTTAAAGCAGTTTTTTAATGACAGATGGTGGATGACCACTGAACTCTTTTCTGTAGGTAGGTAATTTTTTCACCAAAGTGTACTTGATTTGCAATTAAATGTCGATTGTAACAGGTTAATTACTAAGGATCTTGTAGATCTTTTTCTCCAAAAGTAATAAAACAGTCTTGTGCAGTCTGTGGCAGAATAAATTAGGAACGAGGAAAAAGGTCACTTTTTATTCTAGTACATCTTGTATAATCTCTAAGAGTGAAAATGCGCCTCCAAAATACAATCTCGAATAGTTGTAAAACATTCTGTCTCTCTCTCTCTCTCTCTATCTATCTCTCTCTTCGTCAGTTTCCTCAGTGCTGAGAGTCGTGACCACCTCGTGGAAGCAGTGTACTGCGTATTACTCTCCGCCATCTGTTTCTATCTGCCGCCGAGTGGAGAGCATCGTGAACTGTAGTGTTGAGAGTGGTGCGAATCTGATCCGTCCAACGTATCGGACTCTTGTTACCAGGACTATAGGAAAAATATAGGGTACCCTGGTAGCTACTACTTCTTAGCAAAGCCTGGACTGATTGGTACTAGTGAATAATGTATTTAGGAGATATCGAAAGAGGAACTTTACCTGTATGAGTTGTCCTGTGGCATCGGCAGTGATGGCAGAGGGTGGTGGCGTGGTGGGAGTGGTCGCCGGCGCAGTGAGGGCCGGCGCCTCCGGCCCCCCGCCCTCTACCACGCTCATCTTGACCTGCAAAGATAAATCTTATTAATATGCTGTAAATTGTAGAAAGAAATGTTAAGTACATTGTATTTTATTTTTTGTTTAGTTTCATTTGGTGACCTTTTTCCATATTACTATATCTTAGTGTCAAATGAAGGATATTAATAATTGTATACAGTAATAAGTGTAGGAGAGCCAAGCTTCGGCACGAATGGGTCGGCTCGACCGGACTGATACCACGGCCTCACAGAAAACCGGCGTGAAACAACCCACAACGTTGTGTTTCGCCGTGTGAGTGCGGATACCGGAGGCCCAATTCCACCCCTATTCCTTCCCGATCCTTATATCCCCAACCCCTATTCCCAAAAGGCCGGCAACGCACTCGTAACTCCTTTGGTGTTGCGGGTGTCCATGGGCGGCGCCGATTGCTTACCATCAGGTAATCCGTCTGTTCGTTTGCCGAATCAGATTTATGTACTGTATATTGTCTAAAGTAAGGTGATTATAATCTTTTAAATAAAATAAAATATACAAACGTCTAGTTATTGTAAAGGTCCGTTTAGATTTGACAAATGTGCCGCTTACGAGTACCTAACTCGTGAGCTTAGCGCGTGCATTTTTGGGTGCACAATATGCAAAACGACGGCCCCTTTCAACATGCCAAAAACAGTACCTATTGTATCAAAATTTATAGTCCAGTCATCTAGGTCAAAATAGGTACGTGAGTGAATGAATCTCGAAAAATTTAGGTACCTATTAAGCTGTATCTATATTCTAGGTATACTAATATTACAAAGAGGTAAAATTTGTAAGTTTGTATGTAGGGGGTAATCTTTGGAACCGCTGGTCAGATTGCCAAATATCTTTCACTGATTGATATAGCTACAATGTCCATGAGTGCTATAGGCTATAAAACATCACGCTACGATCAAATGGAGCTGAGCAGCGGGTGAAACCGCGCGAGAGTAGCTAGTATTTGTATAAATTTTTATTTTGTAATCCTAAAACTTTCCTCCAAACCTACAAAACGTAAGGCACATGTAGTGTATCTGTAAAAAATTAAGGTCAGGTTAAAAGAAATAAAAAAACAAAAATATATATTTTTTCAATAATGTAAAGGATGAAATTACTCTACAACATGCAGTCTGCAGGACGGTACAAAAAAATCAATACGCAAACAAATAAATGAATAAAAAAATAATAAACCCGAAATTCTATTGAATTTCTTTCATAACATAATAGTGTACCCCTTTCGGTGTATTCAGTATTACTTATCGTGGTAAGGATGCTTGAGACGTTGGTATACGTGCAATATCTCAGATGTGACAGTTATTCACGACGTCACGACAATGTTACGGCGCGATCTTCTCTTACAATATCACCTAAGAATGTGTTCATACTGCAGGGAGCATTTTTTCCAAATTTTGTGTTCGAAATAATTGCAAAAAGTTAAGGAGAAAGAACAGATTTCTGCATATAAGTATCGGCAGTCGCGGGGAGCCAATAGAAGCAGGTGGCAACTTGTCATTCGACGTGAAAGACTATGGGGAAGGCTTTTCTTAAGCAGTTGGACGTCTTCCGGCTGATGATGATGATAAGTGTACTAGCTACTCTCGCGCGGTTTTACCCATTACTCGGCTCCTTCAGATCGTAGCGTAATGTTTTATAGCCTATACTTACTCGATAAATAGACTACCAAATACAAAAAGGTTTGTTCAAATCAAACCCGTAGTTCCGGATATTAGCGCGTTAAAAACTCAAACAATCTCTAATGCTTTTTAATCGAGAGACGATCTCCAGTCACCGTAAGCGCAGGTGACGGCGAGTAAGGGTAACTCGCCGCCCGACAAGAATCAGACCCGAGCGTACGGCGCGAAGCGTTCCGCGCGCACCTCAAAAAGTCAATAGACCACCATAGCCGGGGCCCTGAAGAACTGATGTTTAATGAGGCACCGCGGCTTCGGCCTAAAGCAGGAGAAGGAACGGGAGGGTTTTTAGTCAGTAAGAGTCCGACACACTCTCTCGCCTTATCCTGGGCGGGAGAAGTCATTTGTTGTTTTTCTCTTGACGAAAATAAAGCTTTTTAAGATAACTATAGATTCTGGTAATTCTGGAATTAACACTGTTTATTTTGTCATTAACTGGGGACCAAAACTCAACGAATTTCCAGACGCTGGTTTATAGTGAAATCCAAAACTTTATTTACAGTGAATTATTAATATTTACAACTGGATAAAAGTGAACCCTTTCCAATGGATAAGGGGAAAGTGTAACACTTTGTAGAAAATTTATCAAATACATTTTTAAAATACTTTTTCGAGTGTTTCTTTTAAATAATTAAATTGTAAAAGCTTCACAAACGAATAAGCAATAAAGTTGACATTTGAATACGTAGATTTTTAAATTGGAGTGCTTTTATGAAAAGGGAAATTTTATAAATAAGTAGGTATGTTATGAAATATTAAATAGAGTTTTATGTCGAAAATGACAGGTTTTTTTCAGTAACCAAGGTTCAAGGACACCACATTTTAGCTTTTAAATAAACTTGTATGTACAATTCACACTTATTTTAAACAAATATTTATCTAATAGCTACTTCAAATTGCACGTTTGTTAATGACCACCTGCCAAAGCCTGGCTCTTTCGCACTTAAACTGTCTCCATCCTGAGCAAAAGCCTTGACAGAGGATCATCCATCGGAATCTAGACTTTGGAACGAGCAAATAGCTTCACTAGCAACCGGTTTCTGAAAGGCTAGTCAACACAAAAATTAACTAATCTCCTGTTAAATCTCTTGTCAAGTCATCTGATTGGTTGTTGACAATTCAGTCAACCAATCAGATGAGATTAAATCACAAGAGATCAAATTGATTTTAACATTGATCGGTCTTTCGGAAACCGGGTGTAAGAGGACTAAATGACAGACAGACACTTTTTATCTTTAAGTTTTGTTTGACGTTCAAAAATGCTTGTAAGGGTAATGTCATCAGACGGGGCCTTACAGGGCTGATGAACAGGAGAAGGAACGGGGAGTTTTTAGCCAGTAAGAGTCTGACACTATCTCTTGCCTCATCCTGACAAAAATAAAATGATAATAATTCACCCACGTTAGCACGTGAACACACCATTACTGAGGGTAATTGAGAATATTTATGTATTATGAAGGCATGCCCCGCGATACATGAGCTCACAACGCACACATAGGCACACAATCTTGGTGGAACAACTTCGTTTACTTGTATTACATAACTTTTAATGAATGCTAACACTGTAACTTGGTTTTGCGTTACTCTGTTGTTGTTTTGCTAATTTGGATCTTGGTTGACTGTTTTAAGATGTTTTTTTGGTTCGATCAAATTTGATAGACAAAGTAAATATTTTTTTCGCGGAATCGATCGGCAAACGAGCTCACGGATTACCTGACGGTAAGCAATCGGCGTGGACACCCGCAACACTTAAGGAGTTACGAGTGCGGTACAAGGCCTTTTGGGAATAAAGGTTTATCTTATTTGAGGATTAGGAAGGGAAGGGGAGAAGGGGAGGGATTGGGCATCCGGTAACTTCACTCACATGGCGAAACACAACGCTGTAGTTATTTCACGCCAGTTTTCTGTGAGGCCGTGGTCTCACTCTGGTCGAGCCGATCCATTCGTGCTTGAATGCTGTTCGAAGCTTGATAATTGGTAAAGTAATAGCCTGTCAGTCTGTTCTTCAGTGAAGCTAAGTAGGTCTATATCCATCATTCGTAAACAGATTAACGTAAATGACTTATTTTGACTGCACAGTTAGCGCGGAAGCTGGGCAACTGGCTACCGCGTCACGTGTCGCGGGTTCGATAACTGCTATATATCTCTCGCGCCTATACCTCTTTGTGTGATTCACAATTTGTTGTTCTGGGTCTGGGTGTAATGTGTATGTTTCTAAACGCCCACGACACAGGAGAAATTCTAATGAGGCGCAACGTTTTATATAAAGAATAAAAATGACTTACCAATGACATAGTAGGCCAACGACTAGCTGATTTGAATAAAAAAAACTTAAGATCTAGGATCAAATCCTGATTTAATTAAAGTAATGATTATAAAAATATCAGTGGTAAAAATAACTGACATCATCTATGTATATCTGCGCATGAGTCATTGTAAATACTTTCTGTCGTTTCTCTAAAAATATATTGAGAGAACACCTGTCCGGTGTTACTTCATTAGCAATGTATGCAGTCGTAATGCAATCTTTTATACTTACATACTATTGTATATTATAATTGTGAATTCATTAAGACATGATGTAATGTTTGACTGCACGGTTGGCGCGGTGGCTGGGCAACTGGCTGCCGCGCAACGTATCGCGGGTTCGATTCCTGCACGGAACAACTCTTTGTGTGATCCACAGATTGTTTTTCCGGGTCTGGGTGTGATGTGCATGTGACATTGTATGTTTATAAACGCACCCACGACACAGGAGAAAATCCTAATGTGGTGCAACGTTTTTTTTTTTTTAAAAATGTAGTGAAAATATGGCATAGAAAATTCGGAGTTGGTAGAGTAGACAAGATCTTTCTTTATTAAGTACTAGCTACTCTCGTGCGGTTTCACCCGTTGCTCTGCTCCATTTGATCGTAGCGTGATGTTTTATAGCATATAGCACTCAGGAATATTGTAGCTATCTATCAGTGAAAGAATTTTGGCAATTCGACCAGCGCGAGCGGTTCTAAAGATTACCCCCTACATACAAACTTACAAATTTTACCTCTTTATAATATTAGTATAGATAGTATAGACTAGCAGACTCAGCCACGCGTTGCTGTGGCTAAGGTAAATAATATTGTGACTATAAATTGAAATGTAGGCTATCCTATCTTTCAAATTGGATCAAAATGCACACAAAATGCTAATCAAATTCAAATTCGGTTAAGTAGTTTAGGAGTCCATCGCGGACATACAGGTGACATGAAAGTTTTGTATATAAAGATGTATTTTTTCCTAATAAATATTTTGATTACAATTTAATATAAAGCATTGAGCCTTCTTTTCTTTTTCTCGCTATTTTATTTCCTACGAGTCCATTGTGTTAATCCGGTTGAGCTGGACCATGCTTAAAATTAACTTGCGCCTATAGGATGAGTGTTTTGGAAATATTTTTATTAGAAATAAAAAGACTTGTGCCGTAGTACAACACTAATACATCTTACCAATATTATGAATGCGAATGTTACGATGTTTGGATGTTTGTTACTCAATCACGTTAAAACGGCTAGACGGATCCGGATGAAATTTGGCGCACTAATAGGATACACTCGAGAATAAGACATAGGCTACTTTTTATCAATATACAACGCGGACGAAGTCGTGGGTGGAAGCTAGTATGATTATAGTGATGTATATACTACGACTAAAACGAATTTTCCCGGAAGAGGTTGAAATGAATTTAATAAATCTATAAAAAACCAAACATTCTTTGAATCTCATACCGAGAGGTCGAGTGTTATTGGGTTGGGATAACCATATCTTTGAATAATATCCAGGATATTTAAAAATAAGAATGACAACACTGCTCTTTGATAAAGGTGCACTTCTCGAAGTGCTGTTTCTAAATTGCTTGGCTTATCCAAACGGTTTTTTTAAGAGGAAAAGTGAAATGATTTCGAGGTGGGGCAAGTGTCAAAATCAAAGCCAAAATCATTTATTCCAACTAAACCATTAATAGGTACTTTTGAATCGTCAAGATAGATAGTCGTCGTCAGTCTGTTTGTCAGTGAAGATAGGTGGTCGTCCCAAAATGTGTCAGTCTCTTAACTGCCTGAAAACCTGTTCCTTCTGCTGCTTTAGGCCGAGGCCTGTTGATAGGATTGAAGTTGTACATATATAAAGAAATTAAATTTCTTTAAGATATTTGTGTGTAGATAAAATAGTTCAAGTTTACACTAGCTTATGTATACATGGCGCCACTGACATTATAATTGCCAGTGTCATTACTCTGAATAAAGCAGAGGAGGTTTAAATATAGTGTATTTTGTAATTCAGTGAAAGAGGAGTCGATAAACCAGTTAATAAACTTTAAATGTCGCTTTGATATTTCAGGTAGGATTTTGTTTAAGTATTATTTTGTATTTATTGTTAAAATTTAAATATTATATTAAATGAAAATCTTTGATATTTCAGAGCAACACAGCCTGTTTATTATTTTGGTTTATAAGAGATTCCAACGAATTGTCTGATACATATCTAAATAAACTATACAGATTAAGGATCTAACTCTGTTTAATTTTCATAATTTCAACTTATTGAAAACAATAACAGAAGTTTTCATATTTTCATCCTAAATGCATCTCAATTCTTCAAATCCTACAACCAGATGTTCTCAAACAACACGAGTTCCACGAAAACTGGATATCCGAAGCCAAAAGACTAAATTAAAGAAAATCCCAAGAAACTTAAACATATGGTGATGCTACTGTTACCGCTGAACAGATGTTGCATAGCAATAGTGCTGTCACTTACGTAACCCCAATACCGGGATTTATGAGTATCGATATCGATAATTTTAGTTGCGTAATAAACAAGTTGATCATGTTTGTGTTTAGATTTCCCGGGATCTTTATAAATTCACGAGATTTTTATTAATAATTTCAGACGAGAAATATGTGCACGAAGTGTGATGCACTGGTAATCAATTACTGTCATAAATACCGCCCATTTTAGAAAATATATCGGTAATATGTAATAATATTCGACCTTGCACTATTTTTATAGCGACAGTTCAATGCCGTAACGTTGATTGAAGTTTTGCTTGCTTTACATTAATTATGATGCTGACATATTTACTGAACGCAACACGGTTTTACGGCGTGACATTTTAAAAAGGTATTTAGGTTATTTTATTATAAACATTCAGCATTTGTTTATGACATTCGTATGATTAAAGTGTTGACAGGTCTGTTAACAACAACTTACTAATTGCCATTAATTCACAAGTCACAGGAAACGAACGGGTTTAAAAGAAAAATAAGATTAATTTTTTCAAGCGAATGATTTCTCGTTTCAACGCGTTTTCATTCCCGGGTTTTTCCGGGATTTAATTTGAACTGGTACAGCACTAGTTACGTCTCATTAGTTATGAATTTAATGGTAGGTTTGTCCTTCACTTCGATATTATATTTATTTTTACAATTTGATCGAGTTCCTTGATGAGAGACGGACATAATATACGTTTACTATTCTAGTTAAAACTGTTATGATTACACTAATTATTGTTTATGAATGTAAATAAATATAGATCGTTTATTTGTGCGAGCCATTTTGTTTTTAGAATAATAAACTGGTTGCTAAGGATTTGTGGATTTCATGTATTCACGTGGAATAAAAATGAGAATGTTGATGAATTTTTGAGTGATGAAGAATGATATGAATAGTTATTAAGAAATCATCTAGAAATTATTACAACGTGACATTATACGATCACACTTTTTAATCGTTGAAGAGGTAGATAGTAGATACAAAGGATAGCCATATCTTTTATGGTGTTTTTTTTTTTGTGACGGAAAATCATCAAATCACTTCTCCTGCCCAGAGTCGGGCGGGAGGGAGTGTCAGACTCTTACTGACTAAAAACACCCATGTTCCTTCTCCTACTCTGGGCCGAGGTCGCGGTGCCTCATCAGCCGGGGTTGCGGGGTAAGCGCATTACCCCGCAACCCCGGCTGATTTGTTATGGTATACGGTAGTGAACGCGCAGGTGGATCACACAATGACAAGCTATATAGCAGCAATACCAGAAGAGTAATAAGTTCGTTGCTGGCCTTTCGGGGGTTGAGGTTTGAATAGGGTTGGAGATTCGGTACCTCACAGATACAGCAAATCACAATATCATAATGCAAGCGTTATTTCATACTGGTTTTCTTAGGGCACTACTTACCAGTAAGTGGACTAATCGTTAATTAATTTTAGTTATAACAAAAGGAGCACGGAGTTGTGCCAGATGTATAGTCAAGAGGCTAGCACTATTCTAGATGGCTGTTATGGCTTTTCAGTCTGTGGAATAATGTGACATAAAATAAAAAAACTGAACCTGATTTTACTTACTTTGTGAATAGAGTTGTCTTATACATAGAATTCACAATATTATCTTCTGAGTCTAGAAACAACGTGTACAATCCTTCCAATGAAACAAATATCCTACTTCATATTATAAGTACATAAACAAAAAAGTTTGTAACTTTAGATAAATTGATGGATGTTTGTCACTCTTTAAAAAGACGAACTGTAAAGGAATGTTTATTAATAAAAACTGTATTGTTAAAATGCTACAGTTGTTTATATTGTTTAACGGGAACAGAGAGCACGCGCGACGCCACTTAAGGAGATCTAAACACGTACTGATTTACTTAATTAATAAATTTCATCGTTTGCCGTAGACGTGCGAAGTGATGATTAGATTAAAATTAAATTAAATGTAGATACTTTTGAACAGGCTACCTGATACTTCTATCTGAGTTACGAGGGCTTACTTGTTTTTTTTAGAAAGAAAGAAAAAGTTTTATGCGATAGGTTACTAAACGAATATACGGATTACCTGATGGTAAGCAATCAGCGCCGCTCACGGACTCCAACAAAAATGGAGGAGTTACGAGCGCGTTACTGACCTTTTAGGCATTAGGGTTTTGGAGATTTATGGGTTGGGGCAGGGGAAGGATTTGGCCTATGGTAACCTCACTCACATGGCGAAACACAACGCTGTAGTTGTTTCACGCCGGTTTTCTGTACCACCTTACCACCGATGCTGGGTGGCAGCTAGTAGTATAAATATAAGAAAACAGGGAAAATGTTGTTAACAAGTTCTCGTAAATTTCCACACAAACACTGACCCATTCATGAAAATTTTTCAGCATTACAAACAGTCGTCTTAATTACAGTTATACAGCGAACAATAAAAATTATTTGAGTTCGGTCATTACAGGGAATGTTTACTGAAATAAAAATTTTCATTGAGAAATATTTCACGTATGTATGTATATATACATAGGTAGGTATATGTATGTATTGTTTGTTACTTTCAGTCATTTGCCACGTTTCGGAATTCTAGGAACGCGTTTCCGATGCGAATCAGTTGTGCGTAAGTTGTAAGCGGTAGCGTGTTGGCACGTGTCGTTCGATTAGTAATATTAGTCTGTCGATATAATGATTTTGAATTAACAAATTTTAATACCTATTTTAAGTAATTTAGGTATATTGTTATTGTTTACGGTCAGAACTGTAGCGTGATCCAAAAAGTCGATCGATTAAAAATTTTACTTCCCTAGATGGCGTTGGGATCGAAATAGATCGCGCTATGCTTTCGTTACATCGGAAGGAAGATAGGAGCATTTTCTCCCTTTTCAATGAATAACTATGAGTGTTAAGCAAGTAAATAACCGAAATTTAGGTACTAGTAAGACTGTAAGTCGTCGTAAACAGCTAAAACTATAGAAAATTAATCTTTCGTGCTTCTTCCATTTTAAGTTAGTAGAAGATTTCTTGGCATTTTACAATTGCATAATGCAAATTAGTTGTAGTAAGAAATATTGTGCTCTTCACAAAATCGCTTTCGCCTGTACTTTGTACCACACAACACATGCAACACAAGAGCTGTGCATCTGGGATGTTCCGGAGATCACCTTGCTTACGAACCAGCGACACGATCGGGTTATTGCTTTGTCATGTGTTATTGACACGAATATACAGATAAACCAAAGTATATTTACCTCCTGTGTGTTAGATTAAATGAGAGATATGTATATTCAAGGTCCGATTCTGGTGGTTGTGCCTTTCTTTAGAACGGGCCCACTTAAAATGGTGTGGTTCTTTCCTCAAAAGACCACTACAGAATAAACTTGCACGGTTCTTGCACATTATAATATTATTCACATTGTCTGGACTTGAAATGAGACATACCTCTAAGTTTGTTTCGGCATTTCTTCTCAAAATAGTCAGATAGGAAATGCCGGCTTCATCTAATTTTTTACATATAATTTTTGACGTGTAAAAGTGCTGTTTTATGGCCTATTTACAAAATGAATTCACTGTTTCAATGTTTGTTTATCATCTCTAATAAGTCATACTTATCATTGTAACACTAGAACTATCAATGTCATTGTCATGGTCTATTATAAATATCGAGACAATGTCGACCATTGACAATGTAACTCTGGTGCGGTGAACTGCCCGACTGTGTGCTGTGATATTAAAGTCAAAGTAACCAAGATCCAAGTCTTTTATTTATATTACAAGGTGTCAAAAGTAAAAGGTAAGTGCGGGAGAGCCATGCTTCGGCACGAATGGGTCGACTCGACCGGAGTAATACCACGGCCTCACAGAAAACCGGCGTGTTTCGCCGTGTTAGTAAGGTTACCGGAGGCCCAATCCTTCCCCTCCCCCGATCCCTCCCCAATCCTTAATCTCCTTAATCTCCAAAACCCTAATCCCTAAAACTTCGGCAACGCACTCGTAATTCCTCCGTTGCGGGTGTCCATGGGCGGCGCTGATTGCTTACCATCAGGTAATCCGTCTGCTCTTTTGCCGGTCTATTACATAAAAAAAGAATTTTAAAGAAGAAACTTTAATGTCACAAGAAAAATATACTTCTCTATGCAAAACGATCAATCAGTAGTTACGATTTGAATATTGGGCCCTTGGAAAAATTTGTTATAATTGAGTACCAAAATCGGCTGCCTTTTCCTAGTTTTTGCGTAATGAGGTCACTTTCATAAATATGATAAAAATATAATATACTACACAAGTATCCGTGCTCTGTCCGTGCGTGCGCTACACTCATTTAGTTTACCCCAGGGAAATATGGTTATCATGTAATGTTTCTATGTTTTGTTTTGCAAATTAAAACTAGGTTGTACACTTAATTTCTTTTTTATTACAGGTTTTTATTAAACTTGCCTATGTATGTTTTGTGAGGTGGAAATTTTAAATTAATTTTGAAGCAGTTATCTTTAATCGATTGAGCTAATAAATACAAACAAAAACACATCAAACGCACTTTCTGTTGTCATTACTAGAGATTTTGCTAGTTACAAATTTTATACATTTCTAGAAAAAAAAATATTCTCATATATTGGGTGACTCTGTATATTTTCTGTCCAGTTTATGCATTTGGATAAAGGCCAAAGCAATGAACAAAGTAATTTCAATCTCCGGTATCCGCTTCCGCTTATCGTTCGTGCCACACGTGCATTCCATTCGCACACGTTTCTCAAACTCGACGCATGCGCGCCTGACGCTCGTGTCTTAAGCCTCATATTAATTATTTTACTAAATTCTTTCATGAATTCAAAGTAATAAGGTGTAAATTCCATTGTTTTGTTAAAATCTAACAAAAGTTTTTCATAATATTCCATGCTAAAAACTGTTTAAAGACTATATACGTAAATTATCCCCGGACCCGTAAAATATACCCCAGTGTGATATCACGGGTGAAAACCGGCGTGAAACAACACAAGCCCTAGGAGTGATGTCACCAGAGGTCCAATCTCTCCTCTCCTAATCATCATCAGCCCATAAGTGCCCACTGTTGAGCAAAGGCCTC